TCATCCAAGAGTTCTGAAGGAACTCAAATGTGAAATTGCAGAACTGCTAACTGTGGTCTGTAACCTATCATTTAAATCAGCTTCTGTACTGGATGACTGGAGGATAGCTAATGTGACACCAATTTTTTAAAAAGGGTTGCTCCAGAGGCAATCCTGGCAATTACAGGCCTAAATTCAGTACCGGGCAAACTGCTTGAAACTATAGTAAAGAACAGAATTGTCAGACACGTCGATGAACATGATTTGTTGGGGAAGAGTCAACATGGTTTTTGTAAAGGGAAATCATGTCTCACCAATCTACTAGATTTCTTTGAGGGGGTCAACAAGCATGTGGACGAGGGGGATCCCGTGGATACAGTGTACTTAGTTTTTCAGAAAGCCTTTGACAGGGTCCCTCACCAAAAGCTCTTAAGCAAAGTAAGTTGTCATGGGATAAGAGGGAAGGTCCTCTCATGGATTGGGAACTGGTTAAAAGATAGGAAATAAAGGGTAGGAATAAATAGTCAGTTTTCAGAATGGAGAGAGATAAATAGTGGTGTCCCCCAGGGGTCTGTACCGGGCCCAGTCCTATTCAACATATTCATAAATGATCTGGAAAAAGGGGTAAACAGTGAGGTGGCAAAAGTTGCAGATGATACAAAACTACTTAAGATAGTTCAATCCAAATCAGACTGCGAAGAGCTACAAAGGGGTCTCACAAAACTGCGTGACTGGGCAACAAAATGGCAGATGAAATTCAGTGTTGATAAATGCAAAGTAATGCACATTGGAAAACATAATCCCAACTAAACATATAAAATGATGGGGTCTAAATTAGCTGTTACCACTCAAGAAAGAGATCTTGGAGTCATCGTGGATGGTTCTCTGAAAACATCCACTCAATGTGCAGCGACAGTCAAAAAAGCAAACAGAATGTTGGGAATCATTAAGAAAGGGATAAATAATAAGACATAAAATATCTATATAAATCAATGGTATGCCCACATCTTGAATACTGTGTGCAGATGTGGTCTCCCCATCTCAAAAATGATATATTGGAATTGGAAGAGGTTCAGAAAAGGGCAACAAAAATGGTTAGGGTTATGGAATGGGAATGCCTGTCATATGAGGAGAGATTTGCTACCAAAAATGGAATGAAAGGAAGAGCTTTGGGGGAAACTCCTCCCAGATCTTGGTTAACGTGGGGAGTAGGAGATGGGTTCTGAGCCATGCTTCACAGCACGGGAGTGAGCAGATGGTGCTGGATTTCCATAATCCCCTATGTCCTCTGCCAGCAGAGGAGGGATGAGAGCTGGGAAAGGGGCCCAGGAGGAAGAAGGCAGAGATAAGTGCCTTGGTGCTGAGGCTATGATACTGTTTCTGAATGGATTGCATTTTATTGTGAGGATGTGAAGTGCAACTTAAAAGAGAGGCGCTGCCAGCCAACATGGGTATCCTGGTGCCAACTAGTATGAGTATCCTTGTTGCTCCTTCCGGGATAACAAGGGAGCCAAAGAAAGAGTTTGGCTGGAAAATAGTTCGGGGAGAGATTTCTGCTTTCAGCGCTTTATGTGCCCAAAATCTTAATGGACATATCAAGGTGGATATGTGTGTGCATGCAGTTTTGTGCATGTGGGCTACGCATAGATTTGAGTGTACGTGTAAATACATATCTTCTGAGTCCTGTATTACACTCTTGTCCCCATCCATCCCATCCACCCTGATGCACCTACCCCAGTCATTAGTCCTGCACTGATGTTCTGGGAATATGCTGCATTTGCTGTTCCTTGAAGTAGAGATCGAGGTCTTCTAGGGCAATATAAGGGGTGGTAAGGCCAGACTGAGCTGGTGTTTACTAGTCTCTGCTCTCCTGGCTCAGGAAGGCTGGGTGAGACTTCTGCAGTCCCTCAGAAACCCCACTAGCAATGTGAGAGGCAGGATGAGCAGTAGCTTAGGGCAGCAAAATGGTTAGTGGTGGAGCTGGCTCCTAGTGTGACAGAATCCCACAGCTGGTGCTGCTAGACACTGTGACAGGCTGGGTCACAGGAACCCCGTTGGACTGCCACCTGATGTGCTAGGACCCACTCTAAGCCCATTTTCCCCGGCCATTTGGGACTTCAGAGCCCTGCCTGGTCATGACAGACATGCTAGCCTGCTACAAACACAGACCCAGGTCTGAACCACGTCCCCCAAAAGCTGCAGGCTTAAGAGCTTAAGAAGTGCTCCTGTCTCCAACCCCAGACACCCAGTTCCCAATGGGATCCAAACCCCAAATAAATCTGTTTTACTCTGTATAAAGCTTATACGGGGTAAACTCATCTATTGTTTGCCCTCTATAACACTGATAGAGAGAGATGAACAGCTGTTTGCTCCCCCAGGTATTAATACTTGCTCTGGGTTAATTAATAAGTAAAAAGTGATTTTATTAAATACAAGAAGTAGGATTTAAGTGGTTCCAAGTAATAACAGACGGAACAAAGTGAATTACCAAGCAAAATAAAAGAAAACGCGCAAGTCTAAGCCTAATACAGTAAGAAACTTAAATGCAGGTAAATCTCACCCTCGGAGATGTTCCAATTTGCTTCTTTTACAGACTGGACTTCCTCCTAGTCTGGGTCCAGCAATCACTCACACTCCCTGTAGTTCCTGTCCTTTGTTCCAGTTTCTTTCAGACATCTCTTTGGGGTGGAGAGGCTATCTCTTTAGACAGCTGAAGACAAAATGGAGGGATTTTCAGGGGCTTATATAGCCTCTCTCTTGTGGGTGGAAACCTCTCTCTCCCCCTGTGTAGAATCACAGCTACAAGATGGAGTTTCGGAGTCACATGGGCAAGTCACATGTCCATGCATGACTCAGTTCTCTACAGGCCGAGCCATTTCCCACATGTTAACCCGAATGTTCCCAGGAAAGCTCAGATGTGGATTGGTGTCTATTAAGGTCCATTGTTAGCCAAGTACTTCCATTTACTTGAATAACCCCTTCATACAATGAAAGAAAAGGAGTACTTGTGGCACCTTAGAGACTAACCAATTTATTTGAGCATGAGCTTTCGTGAGCTACAGCTCACTTCATCAGATGTTTACCGTGGAAACTGCAGCAGACTTTATATACACACAGAGAATATGAAACAATACCTCCTCCCACCCCACTGTCCTGCTGGTAATAGCTTATCTAAAGTGATCAACAGGTGGGCCATTTCCAGCACAAAGCCAGGTTTTCTCACCCTCCACCCCCCCACACAAATTCACTCTCCTGCTGGTGCTAGCCCATCCAAAGTGACAACTCTTTACATAATCAAGTCGGGCTATTTCCTGCATAGATCCAGGTTTTCTCACATCCCCCCCACCCCCATACACACACAAACTCACTCTCCTGCTGGTAATAGCTCATCTAAACTGACCACTCTCCAAGTATAAATCCAAGTTAAACCAGAACATCGGGGGGGGGGGGGTAGGAAAAAACAAGAGGAAACAGGCTACCTTGCATAATGACTTAGCCACTCCCAGTCTCTATTTAAGCCTAAATTAATAGTATCCAATTTGCAAATGAATTCCAATTCAGCAGTTTCTCGCTGGAGTCTGGATTTGAAGTTTTTTTGTTTTAAGATAGCGACCTTCATGTCTGTGATTGCGTGACCAGAGAGATTGAAGTGTTCTCCGACTGGTTTATGAATGTTATAATTCTTGACATCTGATTTGTGTCCATTTATTCTTTTACGTAGAGACTGTCCAGTTTGACCAATGTACATGGCAGAGGGGCATTGCTGGCACATGATGGCATATATCACATTGGTGGATGTGCAGGTGAACGAGCCTCTGATAGTGTGGCTGATGTTATTAGGCCCTGTGATGGTGTCCCCTGAATAGATATGTGGGCACAATTGGCAACGGGCTTTGTTGCAAGGATAAGTTCCTGGGTTAGTGGTTCTGTTGTGTGGTATGTGGTTGTTGGTGAGTATTTGCTTCAGGTTGCGGGGCTGTCTGTAGGCAAGGACTGGCCTGTCTCCCAAGACTTGTGAGAGTGTTGGGTCATCCTTTAGGATAGGTTGTAGATCCTTAATAATGCGTTGGAGGGGTTTTAGTTGGGGGCTGAAGGTGATGGCTAGTGGCGTTCTGTTATTTTCTTTGTTAGGCCTGTCCTGTAGTAGGTAACTTCTGGGAACTCTTCTGGCTCTATCAATCTGTTTCTTTACTTCTGCAGGTGGGTATTGTAGTTGTAAGAAAGCTTGACAGAGATCTTGTAGGTGTTTGTCTCTGTCTGAGGGGTTGGAGCAAATGCGGTTGTATCGCAGAGCTTGGCTGTAGACGATGGATCGTGTGGTGTGGTCAGGGTGAAAGCTGGAGGCATGCAGGTAGGAATAGCGGTCAGTAGGTTTCCGGTATAGGGTGGTGTTTATGTGGCCATTGTTAATTAGCACTGTAGTGTCCAGGAAGTGGATCTCTTGTGTGGACTGGACCAGGCTGAGGTTGGTGGTGGGATGGAAATTGTTGAAATACAATGTTGACCAAATCTGCCTTAGGTGCTCTCTACAGCAAACGCTTTAAATACAAGCCCAGAGCCAACGCTCATAACTTCAGATATAAAAATGCTACATGCATACGAATAGGCTGAATACATGCAGTAGAAAATAACCTTTGCAAAGATACGTTACATGGCATATGTAGCATAAAACATATTCCAGTTATGTCATATTTACGTTCATAAGCATATTTCTATAAAGTGTTATGTGGTGCAACGTCACAGACACCCCCCGAGATGAGCCCTCTCTGTGCATGGTGTTCTCAGCCTCTCCCCGCTTGGGCAGTGGGAGATCAGAGCAGGGAATGGGAGCCGGAGCTCCTTTACGGCAGTGCAGAGCATTACCCCAAGGCCAGCATGTAAGAATATCCCCCAGGCTAAAGCAACACAAAGAGCTGGTGCTTCCCACAAGCTGTCCAGCTGAATCAGTTGGTATCTGGATGCTGAGGGTCAGTGTCAGAATTGACCAGAATTCTCTGCTCTGCTTTCTCCCCACCCCTCAGGTGAGCTTGTACGCCGACCCGCCAAAGCCCAGCCACAGCGTTCACATGGGGACCGTGGCCCATGGCTCCAAGGTCATGGCTTTCAGCATCCCACAGACCCGGACAGCAGAGTTCAGCACCAACCCAGCTCCAGCCCTGCCAGCAGGTCTGGATGAAGGTGGGTTTGAGGCACTGGAGAGTCTGTTGATGCAGCTGCTTTTCCTCTCGTTCTGCCGCCCCCGTCCTTCCTGCCTGGCAATAAGCTGCTCCCTTACTCCTGCTGTTCTCCAGCTGTTCACAACTGGGGCAGCACGGATGGGAACAGCTCCAGACCAAATGCCAGCAGAGGAATCTGGATGCATGCCACCCACCAGCAGCTGGATATACTGTCCATCATCGCTAGCCTATGCTCCAGCTCCCAGGACTCCAGCATGGTGGTAGGGGTACTGTGCTCTGGCAGACGCTGCTCGTTCTGGTGTGCAGGATCCATTCATCTTGCGCCCCTCCCTACCCCGTGCCTGTACTGCCCACCATTGCTGGGACCCCTCTCATGCAGCATCTTGTCATCACCTGCCCAGTGGTTGCAGCTGCATCCGTGCTGCCCATGTGCAGTCCCTGCGTGTCTCTGTAAGGGAAGGATGTGGTCCAGTGTTGGCCTGAGTCCCAATTCATCACTGGCACAAGCGGCCACAATGCCAGTGACCTCAATGGAGTTGGCACCATTTGTACAAGCTCTCAGTATCCCCCACCATCTTCTCAGTGGCCGTGGGAGAAGCAAAGAGAGCCGAGCAGGGCTGATTGTTCATCCTGGTGCAGCCCCGTGGCCAAGGCAGATGCTCATTCGCAAGGAATTCCATCTGCCGATTGGCACATGCGCCAGAGACTGAAACCCAGATGCTTCTCACCTGGGCTCTCTGACTCATTGGGAGCTGCTGAGAGTGAGCTGAACGTATTTGATTTCACTGCTCTGGAGTCAGATCTGGAGACTGTGGCTTGTCCCTGCCGTAGTGCTTAGGATGGAGGTGGTCCCTTAGTCCTGGTGTCACCTAGAGAGGGGAGATGACACAGCTGGGATCTTCTTACATTGGTCTTCCCTTCCAGGGCCATCGTCAGCACCAGGAGACCAGGCTCCATCCTTTCCAGCTCATTCTGCACTCACCGGCTTGGCTGGGGTTGACACCTGCACCTCTACGGAGAGACCGTTTCCGGAGGATCCCCTGACACAGACTTTGGCGGGTCAGGCAAGGAAATTTGGGATGCAGGCAAGTGGGGTCCAGAGCGAGCAAAGTATGGTGTGTGGAACGAAACCCATTCGTATTTGGGGAATGGGTGTGCTGAATTTGTCAGTTCTGGGGGAGAATCCAGCAAGGGATGGGGGACAAGAAAGGAACCGTGAGGAAGAGGAGGGGCAGGTATAAGAGGTTAAGCTCTATTGTAATGCTGTAACCATTGACCATTAGAATTACCTTCCCGTAGGTCTGGTCCATGGGCCATTAGTTAATGCCTTATTCCTCCTATCCAGGTGGAATCCTTCGAGGGATTGATCCAAATGGGAAGACTGACCCCGCAGGACCAGCTCTCGGTACACCCAGCTTTACTTTCTGCTTCTCTTATTAGCCCCTTCTCTGAGATCCCAGGAATTTCCAGGAGGCATCCGTGGAGTGGCGGTTGTGTCTAGTGCCGGGCACGTGCATGCAGCCCCTTCGGTCACTGAGAACCCCAGACGGGCTGAAGCACATAATACTTAGTCCGGCCATGAGTGCAGGGGACTGGACTACACGACCTCTCGAGGTCCCTTCCAGTCCGACGCAGAAGACCCCGCGTGTCCCCAGGGAAGCAGGGTCACCAGGCCTGAGGCTGTTCAGTGCCATGGCACTGTATGGTTGACTCACAATGCTGGGCGGTGTCACGCCAGGGCGATGCGATGCGATGCCACAGTCACAGCAATGGAGTTTCACAGCCGGGCCCCAGCTTCAATGTACGAGCTCTTCACGGGGCGTCGGGAGGGGTGCACGCAGGGCACCGGGGCAGGGAGGAGGTCATTCGGCAGTGCTGCACTTAGCTAGTCCTCCTGTGCCACGGGGCACCAGTGCTGGGCCTGTCTCAATAGTTCCTAGCACCATCGGAATATGTTGGTTTGGTGTGTGTGATCCTGTTTCCTCTTACGGCTGGCCCCAGGGGGGATAAGAGCCTTCTACTTGTGCGTAGCTAATGGAGTAACCCTCTATCTCAGTTGACAGAGGCTCATGCTTCTGGTTCTGAAGGTCCCAGGTTTATCTCCCCTGAGGACTTGTGATGGCTGCATGTGTGTGTGGTCCTGGCTTTGTTACCCCAGGGATTCACAGGCCCAGCCTGGCTGCAGTTCAAAATCCCACTCCCATGACCTAGCCAGATGCTGTCCTGGGTGTGTCATCTGGTGTAAGGATTCCACACCGGGGGGGGGAGGGGCGAAAGCTCAGACTCACACGTTTTGATGTGCTGCCCCCCGTCCTAGGGATTTGCGAGGCTGAAGAACGCGCAGGATGCTCTGGAGCGAGCGTATCTGCAGGCCCGGGAAGAGTACCGCCTGGAGCAACAGCGCCCAGGTGCAGCGGGGCCCCTTGGGGACTTCGATTCAGACAGGTAGCTTTTTTTTCATCTGCCTTTGTTCCGTAAACTGTGTCCTCTTGAAATGATGAGTTATATCAAGAGGAAGCACGGCTCAGTGGTTAGAGTGCCACCTTGAGACTCCGAAGACCAGGGGTTCAATTCTGGGCTCGGCTACAGGTACCCTGTGACTTTGGGCAAATTGCTTCGTTTCTCTGTGCCCATCTGTAAAGGGCAGACGACAACACTGCCCAGGGGGTGAGGATAAACAAGGGGCTCAGACACTGCGATGATGGGGTTAGAGCCCAAGAAAGAAAATGTTGGTTAGACAGAGAGGGGCTTTGGGATTGGAGTTTAAGAGCTGGGTTTCTTTGAGCAGCCGGCCGCGAAGGGGCGTGAATGAATGCTAACTTCCCTACTGATGAGCCACTGTCCATCAGTGTGATTAATGCAGCCACGTTTGTGGCACTGGACTGTCCTGTTGCGATTATGCCGTTTTATTCTAATCTACCTGTGTTTCCTGATTGATACTTACGGACATTAATGAAGGGATGAGGCCGGTGAATCCTAAGCAGTGAATTACTGTCTGCTGCTTTCCAATCCCGTACTAGCCAGCTCTGTCGGCTGAGTTCTCCTGGCTCATTATTCACATGTTTAAAAGGATGCTCTGACGCTGCAGACAATGACCTGGAGCCGCATGTGTCACCCTGCGTGACAGATGAGCTCTAAGAGCTGGTGAGAGTGGACCAGATCTGATCTCAGCCACACCAGTGTAAATCCAGGGTAACCCCACCCACATCCGTGAAGTTAGTCCTGATGTTCACTGACATGGACAATAACAGCACCTGCAGGTATATTAGATAGGGTAAAAACACGGAAGGGGAGAAGCCAGCCTAAAGCTGAAGCACCTGCTATCGGCCCCTGTTAGTGCCCTTTGGTCTGGCAGTTCCCCTGCTGCAGAACCTGGCCCAGAGCATTCCAGGATGGGGCAATTGTTATGTTTTATTTCTGTTGCCAGTGCCCCGTCTCAGAGCAGAAGCCCAGTGTGCTAGGCACTGTACGCACACCCAGAGACAGTCCCTGCCACGAGCTTGCATTCCAAACAGACAGGCCAAACAAAGGAAGGATTGTTACCAGATGGGGAGGGGGCCACAGGGAGTCACCCAAGCAGCCTGTAGCAAAGCAGGGACCTGCACTCCGATCGCCTGGGTCCTATGCTGGTGCCTTATCCGCTGGGTCATCCTTCCTTTCTAAGCTGTGAGCTGTTTCTTTCCACCTGGGCATGGTTTTGAAGGCCCTCACCCCTCTGCTGCTGGCATGGTGTGTTTCAGAGCGGTGGAAGGGGAGATATTCCGCCTGGGAATGCGCTTGGAGGAGCTGAAGGATGGGATTGACCGAGCGCAGCAGATCCTGCCCTCCCCGAGGAGTTGCTCTGCGCCAGCCTTGCCTCCCAGCTGTTTGCCAACCCTGGTCTCAGAGCCGCCACTCTCCTCCCCAAGGCCGTCAGTTCAAGCCCCCATCCCAGCCCTCCGCACTCCCTACCCTGAGGTAAACACCGTGCTGCTCTCGGTTTCTGTGGCCTGAGGTTTCCCAGGCAAGGTGATTGCTGACACTTCTCATTCCCAAGACATTACAGAAAATTGGACTGGAAGTGCTTTCAAATGATTCCTCTTTCAGCACCTCCTACAGAGAGATCCCGGAACTGGAGTAGTGGGGATGTCCTGCCTGCAGCCACTGCTGCTGCCCGGTTCCCTCAGTGACTCCTGCTGAGTCAGGCCAGAACTAGAGTAGCAGTGAGCTCTCCCGACCCCCATCCACACACACAGCCAGAGCTCCTACTCACTTCCCTACAGCGCCTCCTGCTGGAAGAGGCTGGAGCTGGATTAGTGCCAAGCTGTCTCGACACGGTGTAGAAGCCCTGGCTTCTTTTGAGATTCTTTCCACTTGTGGCTTGAACTAGAAAATTGCTGAGATCCTTTGCAGCCAGCATATCGGTACCATTCCCTGCAGCGCCCCCTTCTGGCAGAGGTGTTCTGGTTTGGGGGCAGACCTTACCCCTTTCTGCCCCGTAGGCCCCTGTTCCAAAGCATGCCCGCGCTCAAATGCAAGTGGACGCAGAGGTGAGTTCTGCGAGTGGCGAGACGGAGGAGGAGAGAGAAGAGCTTCCCGAGCCCCTTCGGCACAAGCAGCTTCAAGTGGAGAAGGACTTCGATAACCTGCTGGGCCAGTAAGTGTTGCCCCCGCTAACCCAACCAGCCACTTGCATGCTGACGTGTTGAAATGGACATGCACGCTCCATGTTACGTGCTCACAGCCAGCACCCGTGCAACACAAGTGCCTGCCATGCAGTGATCATGCAGTACAGTAATTTTGTGCCCGAGGGGGATGTTTCAACTTCTGGCAAATCAATTCTTTGCCGGTGTCAGCTCTCTGAGGCATTCACACCAAGGGGCCTGCGGGTCAGGGGCTCTGAATACACAGCATAGATCTCTGCAGTGAGAATAGCTTCACTGCCCACCCAGTGCGGGAAAGGTGCATTTCGCCTCATCACTATGTTTGTAATGGGAAGGGGAAACTGATGTCGCTCAGGCCGAGAGTTCAAGCATCGACTTCTCGTGGCACAAAGGGCAATTGGTTCCCACCCCTGGAGGCCTATGTCCAACCCAGCCATGAACACACAAGTCATGAGTGTAGCAGCTTCAGACTTGTCCCCTGGAAAAACCAACACATGATACTAGCCTGGCAGGGGCAGCCACATCTGCATTGCCAAAGCTGTGTGGGAGCTTGGTGCCGAAATCATTAGAGCCTCTGCCAGGTAGGATTGAGGTGTTTTGGCAGAGCAGTGAGGGAGGAGCTTTTGCCCATACTCGACCTTGCTCGGATAGAGCTGCCAGGGCCCTGTTTGCTTATGCACTGGGCGGCTAACCTGTCCTGTGAAACTGGCTGCTGAGAGTCAATCCAGATCAAGTGGGAGCTGGTGCATCATCCTTAGGTGCAGAGTGCCCCTGGTGTTTTAACTGGGTCTGGGTGCCGGAACATGGTAGTGCTGCCACTAGGAAGGGGACCTCTGGCTGGATGGAGAGACACTCAGTCTCTTTCATACCACCAGGTACAATAGCTTCAAGTCCTTGCCTGAATCTCTGAGCATGGAACAGCTGGGCCTGGAGGAGAACGGCTCCCCACAGGAAGTGGATGGCCCTGCTGCAGAGGATGCTGGGACAGCTGAGAGCTCTCTCGGGATGCTGTCATTAAAGGAAGAGAGGACGCATGTGACCACTCAGCCGTAAGTAATTCAGGAGCACGAAATACCTGCCCTGTGAATATCCTGCACTAACTGGGGGGAGAGGGGAAGTGATAAGAGACTAATTTAAAGGGACAGCACCAACTGACTGTAGGCCCAAAATTTAGGTTCTGTTAGAAGGGGGGACAACTCGTTACAAAGCTTTTTTGTTATTTAAAAAATAAATGTCTATTAAAAACTGTTTTATTGTCATTTCTTTGTTTAAATGCCCTGTCACGTTGGAAACCCAAAGGCTAAAGTGCAGAGCTTTATGTTTCTGCTAAGCTGATCAGCTGTGAAATAGTTTACATTACTGGCGCTTGCCTTGCCATTGTTAGGGTTCAGAGGTAACACACACAGGTGAATGGGGTAGTTCATGCCTGTCCGGGGCTGTTGTTTCTCAGGAAGGCTGCACAGCATTATGTTATATTTGAAAAGTTTTCTTTGCAGTCAGGGTGGCTAGACAGGCCCAGATTTTCAAAAGTGGCCACTGATTCTGTGTGTCTCAATTATCTAGGGCCCAGTGTGGGTCTGGCACCTGTAATTCCCTGTCACTTCATCTAGTGCTTCTCCCGAGATCTCTGAAAATCAGCCCTTTGTTGTTGTTATTCCTCAGTATTTCATGGGGGGGAGAGAGAGAGAGAGAGATTTTAAACAAATCGCCTTCGCAACATGCAAGAGCTTTAAGCATAAAAAGGGAAAAAGTAATGTCGAAAATTTATCCCCATGAATCATCCATCCCACAAACTGATTCCATAGGTTTGGGGAGTCAGGAGTTTTGTTAAACCCTCTGCAAAACTCGTGCACTTTAGGTGCTCAAATGGACTTACTTACTGATTGATTGTATTGTATTGTGGTAGGGCCTCTGAGCCCAGTCCTGGATGGGAACCCCATTGTGCTGGGCGCAGTACAGACGCCGAACAGACAGATGCTTTCTTCCCCAAAGAGCTCACAAACTGAATTGCCTCTGGATGCTCTCTTGAGTTAGGCTCCCAAAATCAGCAGCCACTTTTGGACATTTTTCAGCTTCTTTTTTTTTTTTAATGAAATCTTCAACTTTGCAGAAACTGACGGTAGCATCAGGGCAGTGTGGACTCAATCTAACCCCTGCTACATGCTGTTCTTCTGTGTTATATTTACCAGGGCATTGTGTCTGGGGGTGACCTAAATAAGAGCTGAGTCCCACTTTTGCTTTACCCGGATAAAATATAATAAACCAGGCGCACAAAGACGCCTTCTCTCTCTATCTCCCAAGTCACAAGCAGAACAAAGGAGCCTTCAGCTATTACTTGCCCCGCTTTGGAGGGCAAGCTGGCTGCGGAAGCGAAGAGGACTCTGTCCCCTGGGGGCAAGTCTATTGCAGAGCAAATAATAAGGAGAAGGAGGGCATCCAAGAGGAGGAAGAAATGGGGGTGGGAAGGGGGGAAGAAAAGTGAGCATGCAAACTTGAACACATTCTACTGACTAGGAGAGAACCAAGGAACTGAGGCTCTGGCTGTTTACTTATATAATGCCTGTAAGGCACTCAGAGACCACAGTAAAGGCCCAAACGGTGCCAGGAGCTGTACACATGTAAAGGAAGATGCTGCCCCTGCCCTGAGTAAAGCTATCAAGCTAAGGTATAAATCCACCCATCTGGTCACTGACTCCCCACATCATTGCAATATACATGTGGAGGCCCTGGGGCCTGTGATTTAAGGTGCTTTTCTTCACCGGGGCCAGACTCTCAGCTGCATAGAGCTGGTCAGAGAGGTTCCTATGAAACCCTTTTTTGTCTGACTTCGCTGGTTGCTGGAAATCAAAATGTTTCGCAGAGACAGTTGTGATGCCAACAAAGCTCAAACAGCCCAGTCTGTCGAGGTGTGTAGGGGTGTGTGTGCGTGTGTGTGTGTGTGTGTGTGTTTGAAATGGAAACCTGCCTGGTTTCCTGCCAGCACGCCCACCCGGCTCCTCAGCAGCCTGCCTGCCCGGCCCCCAGGGCTTCCAAGTCTCTGAGGGAAGCCCTCCCGTCAGAGCACCCTGGAATCGGGGCTCCCAGGGACAGCCCACAGGAGTAGGGCCCAGGGGCCAGGTCTCCCAGCCCTTTTGTGGAGCACTCTGATTTTCATTTTGAATCAGAGCTAACCCAGTTTTCGACTCCGGAAGTCCTCTGGACCTGGCGGTGCTGCAGGAGACCAGATGGCAGCAGAGCTATGACAAGGGGACACTGCCCCATCTTGATGGAAGGTTCTGACTGGTGTTGCTTTCTCATCCTGACAGGCAGCCCCTGGAGAGGAAGTCGCACGCCCTGCAGCCAGGGGAACACCGGCAGCTGGTCAGGAAGAGCAGTCGCTTGTCCTCTGTCCAGGGCGAGGAGTCCCTCCCTCGGAACATGGCTATTAAAGCCAGGCCCCAGGATGCAATCCCCAAGCCCTCCTTCGGGGGGCAGCAGGAGACACTATCCCGCCAGAGCAGCATGGCCAGCGTGGTGGGCAGCACCATTTCTGAGCACCTTCCGCAGAAGCCTTTCCGTCAGGCAAAATCCTCACGGTCCGAGGTAAGCGCCCAGGAGGGTGAAATGGAGGGCAGGGTTCCCACTTACTCGGGGTCACTAAATTTGGGGCACAGATCCAGAAGCTATCTCTGAAAATAAGGCCCTGTGTATATAGAAATTGCCTTCTCAGCTGCTGAAATGCAGCCATCTCTGGTGTGTGGTCCACCGCAGCTGTTTAACAGCACACTGGAACACCACCGAGCAGCTCCTTAGAAAGGAAGGGAAGCATTATTTCCATGCTTAAAGCTGCAGGAGAGTTTTCCAGCGCACAATGCAATTCTCCAATATGGAATATGGCCCTTTGCCTCTGGAGGTAACACCCTGGTTCCTGCAGAATGGGCCATGGGGTTTAGTTTAATGACCATGTGCTTCAGAACTTCAGTCTTCTTACTCCCATAAAAGAAAATGGCTCCAGCAATGTAGCGCCCCCCCCCCCAACACCATGCTGAGGCATTTGTTCAGTGCTGATTATGAGGGAGGAATACCACTTACTGATTCACCAGCACCATGCATCAGTATGCTTGTACTTGGTGGTCTCCCCTCCAACTACAGACCAAATCTGCCTGGTCTTATGGCCAGCATCACTTGTGTTGATCCGAATTGGATCAAGTTTCCCTCTGTTGCAGGATCAACGCATTGTGTCTCCAGAGACAGACAGCGGGTTTGTGGGGTCAGAGGCCAGCAGGGTGTCCCCCGCTGACGCGCACCCCGGAGCATCGCCCCTCTCACACTGCGTATGGACCCTTGTCTCTCTTGTCACCCCTCCAGCTCCTATGACCTGCCCTCATCCCCACTCCTGCCCTGGGGGGCTGATAAAAAAGGGTCCAGGGCTGAAGGAATGTGTGACATGATGGAGCCTATGGATGGGGAGGAGCTTGAGTATATGAGGGTTGGTGAATGGGGGTGAGAGAAAAGCGGAGGGACTAGAGCAGATGATCAGACTGGTGGAGGGGATTGTGAGGAGGTGGGGTGCATGGGGTGAGCAGTGAATTGGGGACTAGGGTTAATGGGGCGAGGGGGTCTGGAGCGCATGGAATGGCAAAGGGGGTGATTAGTGAAAGGGGGGAGGGTAGTTACAGACTGAGTGGGTTGAGCAGTGGCTGGGACAGGGGTGCCAGGAAAGACACATGAAGGAGGAAACCAGCCAGTTGGGTGAAGCACAGTAGAAGCCGGGCTGGTAATAGCTTGGAGACTCCCTCAGTGAGGCCTGTGTATTTGCCTTGTTCCCAGGACCCCCGGCCTGCTGGGAAGATCCTGCCCCACATCCAGCCCTGCTGCCCTTCGCACTTCCCTGGGCAAAGTGGCAGACCCCCTGCCATCGGAAAAGGAACTGCTGGGCATGTACACATCCGCCAGCCAGGGCCCCCCCCCGAGGCGGCACCCGGAGACACAGCCTGCCCCGTGGCAGCCCCTCCCAAACCAGCTCCCCTCCCCAGTGGGCAAACAGCATCACCAGCGAGGTGGTACCAGACGCAGACATCAGTGAGTAGAAAGTGCCCATCACCTGAGTGTCTGGGCACCTCCAGCGTGAGACACACATTGTTTCCTGTAGGGGGCAGAGTTCTCCTCCCATCTTCCTACAGTGAGAGGAGCTGCTGCTGATACAAACAAAAAAAAACAATTTTTTTTAGAACATTTTCAATTGGTTTCCCCTACATATCTCGTGATTTTCAAAAACTATTTTTAGTTTAAAAAATCATTTTTCTGAAAACCAAAATGTGGGGGGGATTTGGTGTTTCAATAGAAAACTGGGAAAACATGGACCAAAATGAAATGTTTCCACTCAAGTTTTCATTTTTGAGCTAAAAGATGTGGACCAGTGCTAGTCATTTCCATGTGCCTGCTTGGGAGATGGTGGTTTAAAAGGGGATGATGGGGCTCAGGCAGCCAGGGAGAGAGCAGTAAGAAAGGCCCACAGAGACTATCCACTTCCACATTGCTTGGGGGAGCTGTATTGGTCCCTCAAGCTAAAGCTGTACCAGCCAGTGACCTCTCCTCACCCTCAAGTCCCATCACCCAGAGATCTCTCTCCCCCTTGTACCCACAGCCTTTGGACACAGGCTCTGTGATTTGGCTTGAAGTTTGCTCACAGGCAGGGTAGATTTCAGGGCTCCCAGGATCTTAAGTCCCCCTTTGGTTTATGTCTTGAGACAAATCCAGCCTGTGGCCTCTTTGTCCTCAGGCACGTGGATCAGAGGGAAACCAGTAGCGTACCGGGGAGCCTCCATCACCCAGTCAGTTGACTCACTCAGTCCTATTCCTTTGACAGTGGGTGGCTCTGGAGACTGGGCATGGGAAACGGAGCCTTTCACTTCCTGGGTGCTGGTTTGAATCCTGCTCAAGCTGATAGTGACTAACCTGGCTGTTGGGTGACCTGGGTGGAATGAGTTTGGGAAGGTCTCATTGCAGTGGATAGAGGTCCACACTGCATTTGTGCCACTTGTTGGCAGAGAGGTCAAGGAGTGACTGGACCATGGAAACTGAATCCTCTCCCACCCAGAGGGGTTGCCTCCACCTTAGCGGGGAGGGAAGGTGTCTGGGTCAGACCTGAAAATGGCCCCTGGTCACTGGTGAAATAAACCGAGGCACCCAAAGGTCGCAGCTGTTTAACGTCTGGCACTGTCTCCTTATGTCCCCAGCTCACACGGACTCCGAGGCAGAGCGGGACAGCAGGGACAGCCCTTCTGATCACCATCCCAGCGAAACTAGATGCCCACGCAGCTCCACCACCAGATCGCCTTCCCCAGTCCGGGCTCACCACGGCCTCCTGGGCTCCCGCGTGGAACGAGAGTGAGTGTGAACTCCGCTTCGGGGGCAGGGCTGAGTCAGCAACAACAGCCGCATTCCCTGGCCCTTTGGGGCACCAGCATCTGCTGCGGGGATGGGCTGCTGGGGTGAGATCACCAGCCCCTCTGTGCCTTTGGCTGTGCATGAATCTTTGCAGCATTTCTCCATTGTCGTAGACCAGCCTCCTCAGTGACAGCTCCATCTCTGAGCTAGGCTGCTGCTGTCCTAGGCTGGAAGAGCCCTGAATTTATCTCCCAGTGGAGCATTATGACGTGAAGATGTCGTGACACTGAGTCACACTCTGGGCTCTCTGTCAGTGGTGTCAACTCTGGGCCATTCACGACTGCAATCCCTGGAGCAGTCCTCTCCAGAAAGGGCTTTGAATCCAGCGCTGTCATTAGATTTCCCTTGAGCATCATTAGCTCCCAGTAAGCCAAGCAGCCCCCGAGCAGAGGAGGTGGGGGCTTGTTTATCTGCTTTCTCTGAGCAGGGGAGGTCCGGGAGGGTGGGGTGTTCTGCCCGTTCTGTGCCGTTCTCTCCTTGCATAATGTCAGCAAACATTTCTGAGAGTGTTGCTAGGACGCCGCCTCTCTCGGACGCGAGTGTGGCAGGGGTGGGGCTGGGAGGAAACAGTGCTGGTTTCTGTGCATGGAGGAAGAGGGACGTTTTTGGAGATCCGAGCACGCCGCGTCTTAAAGCACCCACCCCAGGCGAGATCCCTTATCTCCAGTCTCCACCCTGCTCTAGGACTGGTTTATACTGGGCTGATGGACTGGTTCCAGCGCATGTTGTGTTAGAAGGGCGGGTCACTTGTTTCTTTGGGCTCAGACGTGCTGAGAGGGGCCAGGCCTTGGGACGGGCAGGCTGGGAACCTTGGTACAATAGATCTCTCCCATGGGAGCAAATTCAGCGGCAGCTCCCCTTCCCTCGGGGATATGAGAGATCTCAAAGCCACAGGAGGCCGCCTCACCAGTACTGGGGCCAGCTAGCCGGAGGGAGGAAGCGGAGAAAAACTGGATATGACCGCGCCAGTCCTGGCCTTCACCACCATGTGCGTATCACACCGATTTGTGTGGGCTCAGCATGGGGGTTCTATCCCGTACGCAGGCCGCCCCCTGGTCAAGGCAGAGACCATCCAACTTATTTCACTGTGACCACAGTGAGGCCAGGTCTGAGACTTATTTTAGCAGGTGGATACTAGCCCCTCGGTTGAAGGCTTTGCAGTGTCTTAACTGGGACTGGGAAGCAGAGTGGGGCCAGATCAGATCCTGCTGGGCAAACCAGGGACAAAGTGGTCTTTGGAGGCAGCTCTTCTAGGAGCGAGTAACCGGGGGAGCGGGGAGAATCCCACACAGTGAGTCCCTGGCTATATAGCACAGCTAAATTAATGCCACCAGGGCAGCCTCTGTGATCACTGCCCCAGGGATGGGCTGAAGCAAGAGCAGATCAGTGGGAAAGGGTCAGGGAGTTCCCATCATCCTCGCTAGCTGAGTGGTTGGGTGGAGCTCTGAGCTGCCCTCCTGGAGCATCTGCCAGCTGGACTGAAAACTTTTATTTCAATGCAGGTGCCTTCCGTAGCTAGGGGGATAGAACCAGGGGAACTGACCTCTCTTGAGGCAAACTGTGATCTGGTTTGCCTCGATAGCCCCTCTGCTCACTGCCTGGCTGCCTCATTTCAGCCTGGCAGGTAAAGCATTAACGCTCGTGTCACTCACAAGAGGAGAGAGGGGAATGACAGAGTAAGAAACCTGTCCCCTCTGCTCTCTCACAAACCTGCATCTGGTTAGACCCTGATTGGAACCAGACCTTTGCCCAGCTTGGGGCGAGAGAACCCTGGGGGAGTCTGAGGTTTCCAGAACCTTGCAAACTATTTCAGTGGGGTTGGCAAACCTAGTGTGAATTCCCATCCCTTTCTCCTTGTTGTTTTAATTTGACTCAGACGGATCCTCAGCTGGCGTAAATCAGCATCGTCCTGTTGAATGCATTGGACCGACACCAGTTTACACTAGCTAAGGATCTGTACCCTGGTGTTTATTTCCCTGAGGGTGATTATGTATTTTCCTAGCTAAAGGGCAGCAGCTTGTGCTGTGTATTACGGATAACCGAGCCTCCCCGGAAAGCTGAGCTGACCTAAGTAGGTGTCCTGCATCCTGTAATGAACTGGACAGTGTGTGTCTGCGTCCCGCTGCCTCCTGCTGGGGGGAGTCAGCCCTGCTCAGGTGTGTCTCAGATCCCATCGTGCTGATGGAGATTCTCCTTCAGCTCAACTGGCAGGGCCTTGTGCTTTCTGGAGCAGGGAGATCAGTGTCCTTCCCCCGCTGTCGCCCTGAAGATCTGAGAGACGTTGTGATGTGCAGCTTAGTGACACCTGAGAGAGGCCTGAGGTGGCCACGGATTTCAATGAACCTTGAACCCAAGATTATGAGTGGGCTGGAATTGACCAGTCAAATTTGCATAGCCTTAGTCTGGGTAACTTTTTTGGTATGTCTAGTTCATTCCCTGCTATGCTGCATGGTTCTGGGTAGCAGCCAGGGCTCAAATAGGAAGGAGAAAGCGTCGCTCTCACTGTGTCTCCTGCAGCTATCTGGTGAGAGAGCCAGTTCCTGGGAGGTTTCGTACCTGCCTTTGCAGAACCCAGAGGCCCGGCTCATTTGGAGAAGACTCCATGTTTCCAGAGTGTATCCAGCCTGAACCTCCACATGGTTTGAGGTTCTCCTGTCACCACTCACAAGACACGGTTAATTGTGAAACCTTCAGGCCAAGATTGTCAAAAGGGACTAGTGATCTGGGTGCCCGGCCTGAGGTGCCTTAAAGGGGCCTGAGTTGCAGTGGCCGGGTGTGGAGCATTGTCTGTTGCTTTCCAGTTACTGGGGTCAACCTGACAGGCTTTCAAGTTTGACTTCAGTGTGTCTTTATATCATTTGGACTGGCCACCAGGAGAACAGCACCTTGCTTTAGCTGGCTATAAAATCCAGCCTTGGGTGTGCTCGAGTTGGCTGTACGAACGAGAGGCCCGACCAACACAGCTGAGCTTTTATCAGCATTGGTTTGAATGCTGGACATCCAACAAGGATGAAGGATTCTGATATTGGGAATATTGTTCCACCGTTTGACCCTGCAAACAGATTGAAGAGAGGGCATATGGAGCAGTGGCACGTTATCCGTGACTCACAACCACACAGAAGAATCGCAAGCATGATTGCCCGACAGCTACTTAGCTTGGTGCTTCTCTTGACAGCCCTCTCGTTCCATAGGTGGTGTGACGGCATTCCCAATGCACAGCTGGCGTGGGCTGTGCGACGTGGAATCTCATCATCAATTATGGCATTCTGGGACAGTGTACTCCTTAGGTAGCCAAACTTCTCCACAGACTTGAGAAGAGCATGGTTGATCTCCGTGACTGGGTCAACGTGCACACCCCCTAGCACAGGCTGGTACAGCGCTTCGCTTGGAGAGGCTGTTGGAGCAGAATTGCGTTGCTGAATCCAGCTGCACCGTGATTAGATTCTAGTGGGAAACGTGTGCGCAGTTCCTGTCCCACTCTCACATCCATGCAAGCCATGCGCATGCTGGTGCAGAACTGTAATGAGGAGAGCGACGGATGTGGATGCAGGTTTAAGTTCAGAGTTCCATCTCCTAGCGAATGTTGTTGACCCCTCATGGTTTCTCCACCTTTTCAGCGTTCCTTCTGGAAGGGCAATCACGTGCCTCCACAGGCTGTAACTGGCTGACGGCTAATTTGATTGCAGCCTGCATTTGCCATGTCCAGTACCGTCTTTGGGCATCTGTGGCATTTTTACAGGGGCACCGGCTACCTTGGGTGCCAATAGCTATGTAGCCATGTCAGCTGCTTGAGTATTTATCCTGGGTGGGGCTAGTCCATGCTGCCACGGCTTCGCTGCTATTGTTACTCAAACTAGCTTTGATCTACCGAGATTAAAGCTAGCTCTGGTGTGTCTATGCGCGGTGCAGTCACACCTCCTGGTTGCAGTGTAGACATGCCTATAGACGTGGTTACTTTTAACTCTCGAGTCTCCAGGGTGATGAGCAATGGTATCCCCTCGGCAAAGGTTTGAGGATTTCTGGTGTCAGACAGCCAGGAGGAGCGGAGATGGGACTGGCCATATGATTTCAGGCAGGTGGAGAGGATGGAGTGTTTCCCATTTTCCTTCTAGATCAGACATTTCTCTTGTAACCTGCTGTCAAGGTTCCTTCCCCACTCTGAACTCTAGGGTACAGATGTGGGGACCTGCATGAAAACCTCCTAAGCTTACTTTTACCAGCTTAGGTTAAAACTTCCCCAAGGTACAAACTATTTTACCCTTTGCCCTTGGACTTCCACTGCCACCACCAAACATTTATCTGGGTTTATTTTTATTAGGAAAGCATTGTTTGGAAACGTCTTTCCCCCCAAAATCCTCCCAACCCTTGCACCCCACTTCCTGGGGAAGGTTTGGTAAAAATCCTTACCAATTTGCATAGGTGAATACAGACCCAAACCCTTGGATCTTAAGAACAATGAAAAAAGCATTCAGGTCTTACAAGAAGAATTTTAATAGAAGTAAAAAGAATCACCTCTGTAAAATCAGGATGGTAAATACCTTACAGGGTAATTAGATTCAAAACATAGAGAATCCCTCTTGGCAAAACCTTAAGTACAAAAAGACACACAGACAGGAATATCCATTCTTTTCAGCACAACTTATTTTCTCAGCCATTTAAAGAAATCATAATCTAACGCATATCTAGCTAGATTACTTACTAAGTTCTAAGACTCCATTCCTGTTCTGTCCCTGGCAAAAGCATCACACAGACAGACACAGACCCTTTGTTTTTCTCCCTCCTCCCAGCTTTTGAAAGTATGTTGTCTCCTCATTGGTCATTTTGGTCAGGTGCCAGCGAGGTTATCTTAGCTTCTTAACCCTTTACAGGTGAAAGGGTTTTTCCTCTGGCCAGGAGGGATTTTAAAGGTGTTTACCCTTCCCTTTATATTTAAGACACCTGCATTTATTAATCCTTTTTTCCCCTTCCCATCCCAGCCAGGCCATCCGGGCTCTGCAGGACGAGGTCTCGCGGCTTCGGAAGCAGCTGGAGGAGAGTTTGCACCGATCCCGCAGCTACCCAGAGGGAAAGTCATCCCCACGCACCACTAGGAGCAGGAGGCAGCCCGAGTGGAACGGCCCCTCAGTCCGGAACGCAGCCACCTTTGGGTAGGTGCCAGTGTGCAACACAACGTGGCCTTGTTGCCTGTTTTGCCTTTCCTGCAAACTCTGCCAGCCGGAGTTCAGTGACATAGGATGGCTGACAGCAGCCTCCTTCTCTGGTTCTCTCTGGTGCCCAGGGAGATTTCTGCCCCCCTGCAGAACTGACATGTTTTCTGCTGAGACTTGAAAATTGCTGAGGAGGAAGGAGGTACAGGGAGGCTGTTGCAGCTGGTGGGAGCAGTGTGAGGAGAAGGCTCTTGCTCCAGCAGCGGTGAGGGGGTGTGACAGGTTGGAGAGGAAGTAGCGCCAGGCAGGTGGAAGTGGGGAGTAGGGAACGCCAGGTGTGAGACCAAACGGCGGGGTCCAGCCTCAGCTGGCGCTTCTGGCTTTTGGGGACACAGGTGCCATATAGCTCCTGTCGAAGCTAGTGGGAGTTAGGCTAGTATAATGCTGACAGAATCGGGCCCTTTATCGCACCGGTGAAGGGCTGGTAGCTCTGTCGGGGCCAGGTGGGGTGTGGGCCTTTTCCCTTGCAGCTTTCTGGGCGGCTGACACGCTTCTCCTGGATCTTAGGAGCAGGCCTGGCTCATTTCACCCACGTGCAGAGCCACCCGGACAGCCAGGGCCGCAGAGGGTGACAGGCGATTGTGTGAGCACCCTGAGTCCCCCCCAGCAGTCCTGCCAGTCTCCCCACGGACCCTGTCTCCTGAGCACATGGCAGCTCGTCTTCTCCGTGCTTCAAGGCAGAGGCAGTGACTGTCACTCAGTGCAACCAGAGACCCCCCAGTGCCAGGTGGAGGGGAGGGTTAAAACCCCTTGCACCCAGAACCGGGGTGCTGAGCCCTCGACTTCACTCTGTGTCTGTCCCTTTCCCAGCGAGTCCACAGAGAGGAGCCCAGGCAAGTTTGGGGAGCCAGCTCCAGTGATCAAGCCAGCGAGGCGGGTGAGGTCGGCATCGCTCCCTCGGGATGGGCCTGAACTGGACCTCAGTAAGTAGACCTGTTGGAACCTACCCCATCTGGGATCAACGCGGCTTCTCTCCCTGCTTTCCAGGAGCAATTACTCGGGGGCAGCAGACTGCAGAGATAGCAGGATCTGCTTTTCCTTCCATTCTTCTTTGAATTCCCTCTCCTAAAAGGGATTTTCAGATGCCCTTCCTATGCGTGCAGGAGGTGAGAATGGCCACTCTGTGGTGCACACACGTGGTCAGTGATACCAGCATCCTGGGAACGTTCATGACAGACAGGCTTACGCCCAGATCCAGCCCTCCTGACCTTTCAGAAAGCTGGAGACTGGACCCGGATCCAAACTCCGCAGCTTGTGCCCAGCTCTTCGCGGTCATTACCCTAGATCCTGTGGTTGTTCATTCACACAAGGGCGCGTGGTTGCTGCAAGCACAAGTGTGGTTGCGTGACCCACCTGCAACTCCCTCCTCTGACCTGGTGATGACAAAACACACTTGAGTCGGGTTCGCACCACGGCACCACACCTACCCCACCCCCTAATAGCCCTTGTACCAGTGCGTGCTATCCCATAGTGCCTAGAGAACAGGCGCGCAGGGCAATGCACTCACTGGTTAGAAACTCACTAGCGGACATGACTGACTGTCTAATCTGGTGTTCTCGGTGCTCTGCAGCTTCAGATTCAGACTGCCCACCGCCGCGGGCTCGAGATGGGAAGCCCAGGACAAACGTCTCCTCCAGGCAGAGCCCTGCGAGGACGCTGACATTCAAGGGCCATTACACAGGTGGGTGAACACGAGCCAGGCCCTGCTCTGCCCTGGTGCTGCCTCCCTTGTAACACCCTGGGCCACCCTGTGTTCTTAAACTGGATCTCTGCTGTCTGCCCCATGCACACGCCGACTTGATGCTGTGCTTGCCACGCAGGAGGGATCTTCCCCTCCCTGTCATGTGAGCGATACAGCTCAGCCACCAACCCCCCACCCCCCTTCCCAGCTGGGTGCCCTCTGCGATGCGTGCTGAGCCAGCTCTTGTTGGATGTTGCAGGGACGCGCTATCACTTATCTGCCCCCGTGTCCCCAGAACGGAGGGAAGACATGAGCCCCACTTCCTGCCTCCATTGCCAAGGGACCAGGACACAAGCTGGTAAATATCCCATCTGCTCATCTTGGGCCAGACCCCAAAGAATCACACCTCCGAGCGGCTTTGCTTAGTATTTACAACGCGTAAAGTAATAAGATTTTTGCTCTTCATTAGCGCCTGCTACCTGAGATTTCTGAGGGCTTGGCGAATACCCGCTAATGAAACCATTAGTTATTTAAGGCCTGAACCAAGGAAATAAAGCCTCATGACACTCTGATGAGAGAGATGCAGAGGTCATGCCCCACTGACATGCAGATGTTTTTTGGGTGGAATGCACTCTGAGAGAGGGTCTCACGGCCAACCTCCCAACCTCGGGGTGGAGGGACCTCCCTCGTATTGGAAAAGGAAGGAGACTGCTCCCTCTGCTGATTGTGCAGAAGCAGGATTGGCCAGTAGCCACTCTGACCGCGAGATTTGCAGGTACGGCTAGGCACTCCTGAGGCTGCTGTATCCCTGCCACGAGAGAGTAGGTTAGTACAGATCAAAGCATGTGGCGTCCTACACTGCTGGACTGTTAACTCAGCCCAGTTGCACGTATGGCTCTTGCTCTCGCCTTCGTTACATGTGACCCTGTGGTCATTGTTCATTATTACGGAAGCACCCCACATAATCTACAGGATGGGTGACATTGCCAAGATGAGCCTGCCAGAGCAGCTGTAATCCTTGGATTTTTCTGGCCTTTCAGTGCAATCTTGCAGTTTTCCCATTGTGCTAAAGCCAGTTGTTATCATCCGAGAGCTCCGTGTTACAACCTGCTTTGTTCATCTTGTTTCCCGATGCTAGCAACAGACGGCACACAAAGAAATGACCAGCTTTCCGGACTAGCAGCCACCTGTATGGAACCATTTATCTTGCCTAAAGATTAACTTGCATTTTGTACCCAGCATTTTGAGTACATTGCATGCAAGTTGTGATCCCCTCAGGTGATTTGCCCAAATTTTTGCATGGCTGAGGGCGCCCTCCAGTCGCTGAGAGGAACCCACAGCTGAGCTAAAGCTGCACGGTTCCATTCGCATGTTGTGACCCAGCATTCTTTGCCATCAACTCTTTCTTTTTTTTTTTTAACGTTTTTACTTTCTGCAAATTGCCTTAATCTAGTATAATAACAAGTTTGCAGTTTCCAAACATCCTGAAAGCTCCTGTATACTTCTACTGCCCTTTGCAATTGAGATTTTTGTGGAGTTACTTTACTCACTGTTTGTTCTCTGTGTTTTTTAGGCAATGCATCAACGAGGGACACCGTGAGACCCACTCAGCATAGCACTCCAAGGCAGACGCACTGTCCAATCTGCAGCGGGACCAGGAGCACCCCAGTTTCTAAAACCAGGGACAAAGCAGCACATGGTGGGTGAACAGTTTGCTCTGTCTGAATGTTTCTGTTCTGTGAAGAGCTGCTCTGCATGAGGAGGGATCCTGGTGGATGGTTCCCATCTAGCAGAGGGACCTACTGGCCAAGGCTGGAAGCTGAATTCAAAGCTCTAGCGTTCCAAAAAAGGAGTCACTGCAGAGGGTGGCAATAGCGGGCCTCCCAGTCACACTAGTTCCAGCTTCAGCCAGCAGGAGTTGCTATAGGTAGTGGAATTGGAGTGCTGGCTGTGGCTCACGGCTGCTGCAGCGCCAGCCTCCCCCGGTAGGAGTCGCTGCCGGTAACAGTGTTGGCATGCTGGCTGGCTCTCGAGCTGCTGCATTCCCGGCTCTCCCAGCAGTGGCTGGGAGGGAATGGGGTGCTATCTGGGGGAACTTAGAGGCGTCCGCGCCAGGGCTGGAGCGCTGACAGTGCAGGACCCGACACTTGCTGCAGGTGCGGGTCCCAGGGCAGGGTTTTCCAGCACAGCCGCTTGTAGGTGTGATTCATCCCAGGGAGCTGATTCCAGTAGATTGAGGGGTGCATCCCCGGCCCTCTCTTTGTCCTGAGGCCAGACTCACCCCTGGAGTCAGTGGCGTAGCACCAGGGATGGATTTTGCCGCGTGGGTGTCCTGTCCATTCACCCCGAATACCAGGGTGTCTCCTACGGTGTGTCTTTCTTCTCCCCAGCAACCGGCCGCAGCACAGAGAGTGCCTCATCTCAAGGCTCCGGCCGCAGTCGCAAACCCGAGAAGCCGCAGCAGCAGCGTGGCCTGTGGTACCTGGCGGCCCCACCCCCTGGCACAGCTGTCAACTACATCCCAACAGTGCCCCTGCTGCCTTACTCGCCCTCTGTACTGTAAGAGCGGCCCATGCCACGTTGGTTGGGGTTACTGTGGGGAGGGATGTTCAGAGTTTCCTTCTGGGATTGTGGGAGGCAGCCTGGGATCTCTAGGGCCAAAGCAGAGCCTGTGGAGGGGAAAGATGGTCCAGCGGTTGGGGCACTAAGTTGGGACTTGGGAGAATGGCTTTGGTTCCCTGCTCTGCCACAAACATCCTGTGTGACCTTGGTCAAATCGCTTAGGCCCAGATTTTTTAATCTATTTAGGTATTGCTCCACTCAGCGTTGCCAAGCCTAAGCGATTTAGGCACTTAGAAGCTTCAGCTGGAGTGGTGTGTCCCGTTTTGGGCACCACACTTTAAGAAAGATGTGAACAAACTGGAGAGGGAACAGAAATGATAGGTTTGGGAAACCTGACCTCTGAGGAAAGGATACAAAAGGGGGCACGTTTAGTCTAGAGAAGAGAAGGCTGAGGAGGGCATAAGCCTTCCAATATTGAAAAAGTTGTTTTAAAGAGGACAGTGATCAATTGTTCTCCGGGTCCACTGAGCGTAGGACAACGAGTAATCAGCTTAGTTTCCAGCACGGAAGATTCAGGTTAGATATTAGGCAAAACTTTCTAACTCTGAGGGTAGTTCAGCTCTGGAACAGGTGACGGAATCCCCATCCCTGGAGGGTTTGGAGAACAGGTTGGACAAACGCCTGTCGGATGATCTAGATTTACTTGTTCCTCCCTCAGCGCACTGTATTTAGTCTTTGTTTTGGTTTTTTTTCCAGCTACTGTTCTCCACCAGCACCTACCTCAGTCCCCGGCTCAGCTGGCCTGGCTGCCCATTACTCCAGTGAGTACAGAGTGGCAGAGCTGAAGCCCTGGGCCGCCCGGCAGCAAACCCATGGTCGCCACCACTCCCTGATGCTTGACTTTGACGACCTGGAGGACCTCAACTGGTCCCTGAGCCAGGCCGTGGAAGCCGCCAAGAGCATGACATTCACCACCAAGCAAATGAACAGGTCGCTGACCTCTGAACTGAGCAAGGCAAGGCGCCTGAGGGGATCCTGCCTCTTCTGACAGAACCTGGAGTCGGCGTCCTCTGTGGCCTGGCGAGGACAGTTTGAGCTGGCAGGCTGAGCCTCTCCAAACATCTGGAGATAAGCCCCTAGCATACATCTGGGGAACTGATTTGCCAAAGAATGCCTAGGCTGTCCCTCAGCTTCCCACTCCTTCCAGTAGGGCTGGAGAGCCGTCCTCCGGGGCCTGCGGAGCCTGTGACATACTGGAGTCTCCACGCGGGATCCGCAGAGGAAGCTAAGCCTGCAGAGTCCTCTCTCCACCCTTCTCCAGAACCACCTCAGCCTGCATGTTACAGTTGCCTTCAGCCTCAAGCCTCTCTGCTCAGCGGGACCGGAGCTGCCGTTGCACTGGGGCATCTCACCTGCCCCTCTCCGCTTGGCCAGTAGCTTTCGGTTGTTGGTGGTTTTCTTAAAGGATCAAATGTTAAGATGAAGGAAGACAGTGAAAACCTCGAGACACGTGGCTGGGCAGAGAGCTGCCCTGGCCTCCCGGGGGCCTGAGACCTGCACTTTAGAATCCCCCTGGCCTTGTCCCTAGAGAACACCCTACTTTTAAGTATCGTTTTAACTCCCCTTCCCCTTCTCTCTATTGGCCAGCTTGGAGATGGACACCAGCCAATGGCTTACCATCGCACTGTGAGATCCCACCCCTAGCCCCTTGCAGAAATTCCCACTTGGTCCTTACCCCACCTTGCGTTGCTAAATCAATCCATTTCCATGTGGATCTGTCCCAGTACACCACGTCAGAGGGCTACCGAGGCACAGCCCAGCTGAGACAAGCTCTGTTTACAAGCTGAGCCTTTTCACGCGTCGCTCTTGTTTTGTGTAGGCCCTATCAGAATAAGGCTTCCCTTGCAGCAAAGGTTACCTCAGAGTGCTTGTGACGGACAGGATACATATCTCTCTTTTTCTATGTTCATCTCAAAGGTGAATGGAGGAGGATCAGATGTTTATGTGGAAGTTTATTGTTTTTCTACCTGGTTGCTCCTGGCTGTTGTTGGAAAAAATGAAGGACATTCCCATCAGGGCAAGCCCTAGGCACCATCTTCACCAGACCAAGGGTTCATCCCGCCCTGTCTGACCGGCTCCAAAGCTGCAATCGCATGTCTATTAACTCTTCGAGTGCCTTAGGAGGTGCAGTCCACAGCCCGGGAGGGATCAGTCTTTGGGCAGCAGCAGGCAAAGGGTTAAAGAAAAATTGTCCAGATAAGACGTGCCCATCCCAGCAGTTTAGATGATTGGAGCGGAAACAATTTTTAGCCACTTCTTTGGTAATTTTCACCATATCTGCTGTTTCTGGCTTTGCTGTGGGGGAAAGGAAGCACAAACGGTCAGTTTCATTTTCTGTTTCTAAGGCCTGATCCTGAGAGGCATTGAGCACTCTTGCTTCTCCTTGAATTTGGGAGAAGTCACAGGAGCTCAGCACCTCTTGAAGGTCAGCCGCGCGATTAGATCCCCGCACTGATTCTCCCGGGCTAGCCCAGTGCTGGAGCTGGCCAATGCTGCGTCACTTTTTGGTTTAACCTTGCTTTCATTGGCACTTATTTTGAACTCTCACAACCATTTCTGTGGAGATGAAGACCCAAACCTGCAATCAGATCCACTAGGGTGCCATCCCCTTCTCTCCCCCCCCCCCCCCCCCATTGACGAGAGCTGATAGAAAAATATGTAAGTGTCACGCAAGTGTTCATTTTCTGTACATTTTTTAGTGAAAAATGTCAACGTTTTCCCACTTTCCACTGGAAAAAATCTACAGCCAGAAATATTTCAGTTTTTGGTTCTTCCCCCTTTCTTTCTCCTTCTTTCTCTGCTGCCACTGAAAAGACAAAGGAGGAAGGAAAAAAGAAAGTAAGCGCTAGAGGGATCAATAATTGAAAAATTTAAAGCAAAAAAAAATAAAAATCCTGTTCCAAAGTTGGAAAATTACAACCACCACCCCAACCACACATCTGCGAAAATGTTCAGGGTTTTTCTGGGGAGGAAGGTGATTTTTTCATTGGAATAAAAATTCTGATGGAAAAATTTCAGCCACGCTATTGACATCAGTAAGGTTTTTGCATGTGTGTAGGAGTCTCTCTTTCTATCCACCTGTCTGTCCATCCATTCCCATAATAACCATCTCTCTATCTACCTATCTGTCTATCTAGGATCTGATTTCAGGATTGTCATCTAGGTTTGTAAATCCCCCCTTAAAAAAAAAAAAAAGTTTTAGCCAAAATTGGACACTGTCCCTTTAAAACCACAGATCTTTCTGCCAACTTAGATTTCGGGTTTGGCTTATATCAAGCTGTTTGATCCCCTTAAAGACGCGCCTGTTTGCATGTTAATATTTTTAATGGAACATTTCTCATTGTGGTAGCTGGTGAGTGGCTAAATCACTCTCTCTTCAGGTTTTGGTTGTGTGTGTCTCTGTGTGTGTACGTGTGTGTATATATATTCAACATAATCCTTAGGGCATTTCACTTTTTACATGTAATTTATTGGTTTTTTAAAAACTGTTCTTACTGTGTGTGTGCTTTTAAATCTGTGAGGGGTGGTGAGCAAATTCCGCTCCAGCCTATAATGGTCCTTGTCTGTGCAAATGGTGCATGTTTGCATTGGGGCTGGGGCCAGAGGGTCACCAACCAATCAAGCCTCCTTGGAAAAGGTAGGAACAGGCTCCCTCTACAATGCAGTAGCAGCCAGTTGCTGGTCTGATAATAGGACTTGATCAGGACTTTGCAGAAGGAGAATATAGCACAGGTACTGTTGAGACTGTATCCTGTTGCATGTTAGCATGGATCAAAGCACGTGCTTGGACATAGGAGGAAATCTCTGAATGAAGGTACATCCCGACATTGCTCCCTGTGGTACGTCATGCCGTCGAAATTTAAAATGCAGTAGATTTAACTCTCAAAAGCTGTCCTAGCAGGGCCTTTCCCTTATTCCAGCTTGGGTGGCTGTTTCGTGAACAGGTCATTCAAACTCTTCCAGCAAAAGTGGTACTTACTCTAGTTTCCAAATCAGCAACGTAGGGAGAGTTTGACCATCCCTTTAAACACTGAACTGTCTGACGCTCAAGTGCCATCTAAACCCCACGAGGGGATGGAGCCTGGGCGTGGGAGTTAAGGTTGCTTGGGGCTTGTCCACACACAGACGTTGCACTGGTTTAACACCACAGAATCATAGAAGATTAGGGTTGGAAGAGACCTCAGGAGGTCATTTAGTCCAACCCCCTGCTCAAAGCAAGACCAACACCCACTAAATCATTCCAGCCAGGGCTTTGTCAAGCCAGGCCTTAAAAACCTCTAAGGATGGAGATTCCACCACCTCCCTAGGTGACCCATTCCAGGGCTTCACCACCCTCCTAGTGAAATAATGTTTCCTAATATCCAACCTAAACCTCCCCCACTGCAACTTGAGGCCATTGCTCCTTCTGTCATCTTCCACCACCGAGAACAGCCGAGCTCCATCCTCTTTGGAACCCCCTTTAGATAAAACTAAATCGCTATGTGGACACTCATTGATTTTAAACCAGGCTTGCATTGGTAAATTTAGAAGTGCAAGGTAAATCATGATAAGCTGGAACCCAATTAGAAGAGGGTGTATGTACGTGCACACTCTTGCCTTGGTTTAAAGTCACACCTTTAGTCAAACCCAGGCAGGCTTATGTGCAGACAAGATTTTCAACAGTGACTAGTGATTTTTGGTGCCCAACCCTACACCCTTTAAAGATGGCTGAATTTCAGAGGGCAGGTTATCAGCACCTCCAAAAATCAGCCCCCTTTCAGATGGCTCAAGCTGGACATCCCAAACTTAAGGCTCTCCTAAGCTCGAGTTACTTTTCAAAATCTTGACCTAGGCCTTAGACTATGTGCTACAGCGTATGGAAAAAGTCACCATTTTGGCCTCTGTGAGAGATAATAACCTCGTCTTTCCACATCTCCGCTCAGGGTCTGTACCACGCTCCATGACACACGTTTCGCCTGGCACAAATGTAACTGTGCACACAAGCCATCTATCATCAGGCCATATCTCAAAATCCCTGCTGAAGACCAAACTCCCATTGACTACAATCAGAACATTCTTGGGGGTAGGGTGACCAGATGTCCTGATTTTATAGGGACAGTCCCGATATTTGGGGCTTTATCTTATGTAGAAGCCTATTATGCCCCACACCCTGTCCCAATTTTTCACACTTGCTGTCTGGTCACCCTACTTCAGGGGAAGGGTTAGTCTCCGAAAAATCATGAAGTAAAGGGTTTTGGGAATTGATCCTGAACGTGTGGCTTTGTTTATATGTAGGACCTACCCCAAGTGCCCCGTTTTAAAAATTATTTATTGCTTTTTTTTTTTTAGTAGTATTATAATCCAGTTGTGGCTGTTTTTAATGCACAAGGCAAGTTAGCAGGTCTCACTCTTTTTAGGGACCTCTCAGAGGCACTGAAATTATGTCCCATCACAGACAGAGTCCTGGAACAAGGGGAAGTTGTGGTCGATCCATAAAGCTTCAGAGCTTGCATAGTGAAACTCATCTCAAACAACCGCTGACAAAAAATGGAGTAGCTTAACAGAGCTGGTCTGAACTGAACTCTGGGGGATATTTGGGGGGCAGTTTCTTAAAATGTGTGTTTGTGTGAGAACCTCTGTCCATGTAGACAACGGAACCCACTGACAACAGCCTCGGCTATATAGTGAGGGACAAAGAGAGGCCCCGTTTCTGTGCAGCGCCCTGAGCAATTCTCGTTGAAATGTGAAAGCTTTGCTTAGAGTGAAGTAATTCTGTGTGAGGGTTTTTTTAAAAAAAAAGATTGCTAGAAGAGGCTTCCATTTGGCAGACCAAATTCAGGCCTGATTTTGAAGGATGCAATGCCATTGACTTATAGAGGAATTGCACACACAGCTTTGAATTTTGCACATGTCCTTGTTTTCTTATCGCAAAGCTGGTTGTACTGTGGCCAAGAGCCCCCAAGCTCTTGAAACCAGGACACTGTGGTTAATGCATCCTCGCTGGGAGAACACAAGACATCCGGGTGTGTGTATTTAATTCTAGGAACTGCAAGAACAAGAAGTGACGGTTACGTTTTCAGCATCTCCTGGTTTTGTAATGAACTAGCAGAGCCATTTGACAGTATTTTGTAATGAGATAATTGCCTATTTTTTAATGAAATAAATTTGTTTGTTTTTCAAACTGTGTCTCTCTTGTGTGTTTTGGATACAGCCTTGAGCTTCAGGGAACCCAGCCTTCCAGCTAGCTATTACTTATACATTACTGCCGTGGCTGGGAGGTCCCATTGTACTTGGGGCTGTACGTACACATAGTTAGAAACAGTCCTGCCTCAAAGACTTAAATAGCTAAGACAAACAGTGGCTGGGAGGGAAACGAGAGACACAGCGAGGAGAAGTGACTGTCCAAGGTCACACAGCAAGTCAGTGGCAGAGCAGAGAATAGATCCCAGGGGTCCTGAATCTAAAGGCCCAGCTTTTTCATGGTATTTAGGTGCTTAAGGATGCAAATAGATACTGATGAGGATTTTAAAAAGCATCTAGGCACTTAACTCCAATGGGAAGTAGATGCCTAGGTGTTTTTGAAAATCTCACTAGTACTTTTAAAAATCTGGCGTGATGCCCATGCCCTGCCCACTAGACCACGCTACCTCTCTCCCAAGCTTTAGCTTCAGTTTGGGGTCACCAGTGGAAAGGCTACTTTGTTTCCAACTCCTGATTGCGGGCCAAGGGGCCATTCTGATTTCACCCCCACTAGGGGTTCCAATTCTCCCCAGTGCTGCTGAGATCAGAATCTGAGCCACTCAGTCACCCTTACAAGGCTGGTATCTCTTAGAGACAGCGCAAGCAAAGGCAAGCCTATGGCATTTAGGTTCCTGGATGGGATTGGATGTACTCTGTTGCAGACTTTTCCATAGCTCCCAACATCCTCCATGCATCCACCATTTCAAAACTAACCATGCTCCATTGAGATAAAGGGATGGAAAAGGACACCAGGCCACGCTGATTATCCAGAGGTCGCTGAGGGCATAGAAACCTGCCGATATTCAGGAGAGCCAGCATATGGTGTGTTTTGACTGTAACCCAACGATAGCAATGGATAGCTATCCACTGTAACCCAACCATAGCCTGGAAATGTGGGGCAGCCAGGAGCAATGGAAGTTTCCCCTATGCAGTTGTGGCAGAAGAACCTGGAAATGGTCACGCTGGGTCGGACCAATGGTCCATTCAGACCAATATCCCGTCTTCCAATAGTAGTCGGGGCCAGGTGCTTCAGAGGGAATGAACAGAACAGGGCAGTGATTGAGTGATCTACCCCCTGTGGTCCTGTCTCAGCTTCTGGCAGTCAGAGGTTTATGGATGCCCAGAGCATGGGGTGGCAATGTCCCTGGGTCTCGTTGTAAATTAGGATAGCTGCAAGGGTGGTCGGAGGCCTCCACCAGCTCTGCCAATGCCTTGGCTGAGCAGGGAGGTGGCTAGCCATCTGAAATGTGCAGGGACGATGGCTAAGCTGCTATGTCCTGCTGGCACTATGATTCCCTCTGTCTGGACCAGTATCCTGCCCGTCTGCATGGGTGCTTGCCTGGGGCACACCAGCTCCTCAGCCCGTTAGGGGAATACCTTGGCTAATGGATAAAGGGGCCTAATTCTGGAGCACGTAGCCAAGGCAGAGGGCAATGAAAATTATTAGGGGGCTGGGGCACATGACTTACAAGGAGAGGCTGAGGGAACTGGGGTTATTTAGTCTGCAGAAGAGAAGAGTGAGGGGGGATTTGATAGCAGCCTTCAACTACTTGAAGGGGGGTTCCAAAGAGGATGGAGCTCGGCTGTTCTCAGTGGTGGCAGATGACAGAACAAGGAGCAATGGTCTCAAGTTGCAGTGGAGGAGGTCTAGGTTGGATATTAGGAAACCCTATTTCTCTAGGAAGGTGATGAAGCCCTGGAATGGGTTCCCTACGGAGGTGGTGGAATCTCCATCCTTAGAGGTTTTTAAGGCCTGGCTTGACAAAGCCCTGGCTGAGATGATTTAGTGGGTGTTGGTCCTGCTTTGAGCAGGGGGGTTGGACTAGATGACCTCCTGAGGTCCCTTCCAACCCTGATATTCTATGATTATGATAAGGCATCCAGGCCCTATCATACAGCTGGAAAGATTCCACAGATCCCTTCCCCCAGCACCAGGGGCTTGTATTAGACAGCTAAGTCCAGCCTGACCTCATCTCAGATCATAAACTACCACAACCCCCCCAAAAAAGGAGTGCTTGTGGCACATTAGAGACTAACAAAGTCCTCCTCTGCTTTTTGCGGATACAGACTAACACGGCTGCTACTCTGAAACCTGCCACAACCCTAGTGTGTGTTGATCCTCCAGGCCCTTCTGCCTGTAAAACAATAGGGAGTTGGCTGGAAAGTGAGATGGGGAGGAGGGGGAAATGGCAAAATTTGCCTTACATTTTCTCACCAGAAGTTGGCTGGCTGGGACATGGCGTGAAGTGCAGATGTGGTTGTCTGGCTCACTGCCCCCCAAAATGGACCCGGCTGAGGGGTCCTGTTCTCTGCACCTGCAAGCTCTGTTTTAGACCGTGTTCCTGTCGTCTAATAAACCTCTGTTTTACTGGCTGGCTGAGAGTCACGTTTGACTGCAGAGTTGGGGGGCAGGACCCTCTGGCTTCCCCAGGACCCCGCCTGGGCGGACTCGCTGTGGGAAGCGCACGGAGGGGCAGAGGATGCTGAATGCTCCGAGGTCAGACCCAGGAAGGTGGAAGCTGTGTGAGCTGTGTGTCCTGACGACAGGCTGCTCTCAGAAAGGAGACTTCCCCAGAGTCCTGACTGGCTTCATGGGGAGCAGTTCCAGAGCATCGCCCAGGGACTCCGTGACAACTGGTGGCAGACAATTTTTCCCGCCAGCTCCAAGAAGATGAACGGGCCCCAGCGCAGAGCAGTGTACCCTACATGCAGGAAGGTGGGGGGGGGGGCCTCTAGTGGACTGTGTGTGCAGAGACATAAGACTTACCAGGCCTTGGGAGTTCACGCAGGTGGGAGCTAGGATTCGCCGTGTAACAGCTCTGCCCTGGGGAGCTCTGGAACTGCTACCTCGACAGGCTCAAGGTTTGTTTCCATGACCTCTGCTTTTCCCACTCCTCGCAGGTGTTCGCACACTCAGTGCGTTTCTTTAGCTCTTTCCCATCGCAAACAGTGCAGTGCTCTTTATCAAACGACCCTCTGCATGCAGCCCAGTGCCCCTGAGCGCGGCGGGGTGGAGGGCGCGGTTGCTTGAGGTAAGGCACCTGATTTCAGCGACGTGCTTACTGAAGTGTCCCTCCTGCTAGGGATGTAGCAGGCCTCCATTGTACACAGCAGACGGCATGAGCCTGAGGAATTCAGGGGCAAAGTGCCCAATGACTTTATCAGCTGCACAATGACTAACCCAGTCTCTCCAAGTGCTGGCCGGGACCCAGTGTCAGGCGTGGCATTTGACACTCCCACCTGCCCTCCCCTGTCACACCTGCCCCCCTGCTCGCCCGCAGCCGGGCACACAGCAGCCATGACCTTGCCATCGCACCGCTACGGGGACTGGTGCCTTTGTGGTGCCCACTGAACGGGCAGCTCGAGGGCCCTCGGCTCTCCCTGCTAGCTCAGAGCCATCCAGCGGCAGCACCAGCAGCCCGTGTTGGCGGGACCCCGATACTGGTTGCAGGATCCCCCCGATCATGGACACCAGGCTCTCCCATTCCTTCAGTTGCTCAACCCCATTGCACCCAGCTACCGCAAGCATCCCCCTGCCCCCGAGCTTCCCGGCTGCCCACTCTCGGTGGAGACTGGCGCAAGGTCTCTGGGCATGTGCAGATGACCACAATGGGTGTTGGGGGTGGGAGGTTGAGGGGAGGGAAGCAGAATGGGGTGGGGGGGGAAGAAACACCACCACAATCCCCACCCCAGGGAGGCATCTCCAGCCCCATTGCAACAAATAGGCTGTGAGGGGCTCCTCACAACTCAGCCGCTACGCAGTTCTGGGTCAGTTGCTCTTTGTCCGCAGGGAGTGGAAGAAATTGTCCTCCAGTCCCTTCCAGACATTCAGCCCTGTAACAGAAGCTCGGTGTCCTTAAAGCAGGGGCGGGCAAACTTTTTGGCCTGAGGGCCGCAGCGGGTTTCTGAAATTGTATGGAGGGCCGGTTAGGGGAGGCTGTGCCTCCCCAAACAGCCAGGCATGGCCTGGCCCCTGGCCACTATCCGACTCCCACTGCTTTTTGCCCCCTGACAGCCCCCCCGGGACCTCTGCCCCATCCAACCACCCCTTCTCCCTGACCCCGGACCTCCCACCCCTAACTGCCCCCCGCCGCCCCATCCAACCCCCACCTCTCCTTCCTGACTGCTCCCCCGGGACCCCTGCCCCCATTCAACCCCCCCTGTTCCCAGCCCTCTGACCACCCCAGCCCCTGACCACACACCCCCCCGAACTCCCCTGCCTTCTATCCCCCCCACGAACTCCCCTGCCTTCTATCCCCCCCACCCCGCTCCCTGCCCCCTTACCTGCACTGCGGCTGCACCAGGACAGGCATCCACACCGCACAGCACAGATCACCGGGTCAGGCCGGGCTCTGCAGCCCCGCTGCCCAGAGCATTGCACCAGTGGCATGGCGAGGGAAGGCTCTGGGGAGGGGCCGGGGGCTAGCCTCCCGGGCCAGGTGCTCAGGGACCGGATGGTAGTTTGCCTACCTCTGCCTTATAAGAAGGTGAGGCAGTGTGACCTAATGGCTAGAGCACTGGACTGCAACTCAGGGGACATAGATTCTAGGCTCAGCTGTCCACTGGCCTGCTGGGTGACCTTGGCAGGTCACGGTCCCGCTCTGGTCCCGATTCCCCACCTGATACTGACCTCCCTCGTGCAGCGCTTTGAGATCTATTGAGGCAAAGTCCTATGAAAGAGCAAGGTATTATTATTAAAGCATTGATTGGGGGCTGGGTACCAGCCGGGATTGGTCTTACCCAGTGTGGCCAATCCTGCAGTCCTAGTAGAAAATTCTGCAAAGCTTAGAGCTGCTGCAAGTCTCCATATTATTCTGTCAACATTTTGACTTTCACAGACAAATGGGGCATCGGGAGGTGGGCTGGGGCAGGTGAGGGAGTGAGATGGGGAACTGATGGGTGCAGTGTTGGTGTAGCCGTGTCGGTCCCAGGATATTAAAGAGACAAGGTGGTGAGGTCATATCTTTTATTGGCCCAACGTCCGTTGGTGAACGAGACAAGCTTTGGCGCTACATAGCTCTTCTTCAGGTCTGGGGGGATTGATGACATCTGTGAATATTTTTTTTTAATCGGCTGTGGATTCATTGAAATTGATGAAAGTGGATCAAAATTTCAACCTCTGAAAAGGGAGGGGGAATGAACAATAAAAGTTGCAATGTTTTCCACCCTCTGTTTTGCAACCAGATCTGCTTCCGAGAGTGGGGCTAGAGGGGAGGGGGGGCACTCTCTTCATGTTCTAACCAACCTTCCTTCCCCCTCCCCGCCCCCAACAGAAGACCCACTAGGCAGCCTCTTGCACCATGTATGGGAGCGTATTTATTTATTGACTCGAGTGCTTTCGTACAGAAGAACAGATATACACAGATGATATATGTTTGTGCTTCAACACTTTTCAAACACTTAAGATTCCAGTAAGTTTCTAGGTAAACAAGTTCCAAGACAAGATGCTTTTAAAATGTTTCCTTTTTGATAAATTATTTGTTTATATAAATAACTGTAACAGAAAAAAGCAATAAATGTCCAACAGACAAGATCCCGAATCAAGTACAACGCTAATTTAAAAAAAATAAAAACGAGGGGAAGGGGCAAGAGATAACGAACAAATATCAGTGCAAATGTTTACAGCCTTTGCCCTTATCTAATGTTATGGGCCAGGAACAGGGGAGATGACAAGGAAAAAATCGAAACACCTATGAAACCGAGAGATCTATTTGGGAAGGCCAGGGTGGGAGGAGGGGTTCAATTCCTTTGGGGTGGGGAGAGAGGGGGGAAGGACCCCTAAACTATCGCAGAGCAGAGGTGGCGGGCGAAAGGAAAAGGAAATAATTTGAGGAAAAGTAACAAGGTCTAGTTTACCCACTGTACGCCAAGCTTGTAAAAACATCACAAGACACCGTAACTAATATACACACAGTCCGCTGTGAGAGATGGACATGGGGAGGCCGGGTTGGGAGAGTTTGGGCAATTTCCACAGTCATGAACATTTCACTACTGGACGACAACAGCAGAAACGAACGGGGGAGGCACTACTAGGGCCAGTGCGGACGGGATCTTAAGAGGTACTGAGGAGGTGATGGCCTTTAGCTTATTTTTTTTATTCTTTTCTTTTTCTTTTTAACTTCAATACGGAGATATAAACAGTCTTGGTTTCATTAATTTTTTTGCAAGCAAAGAGAGACTTTTTTTGACCCCACACGTTTAACAAAAATATGTCCGTATACAGATATATTTTTATATTTTTTTTCTTTAAGGAATATGCCAAACTCAGGCTAGGAAGGAAAAGGTTTAAACCATTGGATAAAGGATGCAGTATAGTGCAGCCCTAACTAGCAAGGATGTCTGGGCACCAGCAGGTTTGGGCTCCGCCTCTAGGGGGTGTTATTTTGTGGTGAGAGGTAGGGCTAAAATGTCCCTTCTTTCTGTCTGCAAAATAACCCTAGAATCCCAATTTAAAGCTTAGGAGGGGGGGCTAGTCTCTAGTCCCAACTGCCCAATCATTGACCGGAGCTCAGCCATTTCCCCCATTTCTACCCCTCCCCCCCCCCATCAGCGCGGTGCACCGTTTGGCTTTTACCCCTTCCTCTGAAACATCAAGCAATGACCACCTGCAGAGTCAGGCTACCAGCCTAGTTAGACCAATGAGCTGATTGGTACATAGAGTGACCAGATGGCCCGATTTTATAGGGACAGTCCCGATTTTTGGGTCTTTTTTTTATATAGGCTCCTATTACCCCCCACCCTCTGTCCCGATTTTTCACATTTGCTGTCTGGTCACCTTATTGGTACATGCAAATCTAACCCCCACCTCCCAAACAAAGTCCTGATTGGCTGTTCTCAGAAGCCCCGCCTACGCATGCAAAACAAGAGGTCACCCCTCCCAGCAGCAATCTGATTGATCTGTCCAGATGTGCTCACCTGAACCTTGCTGGGGGAGAGGGGAGGGCTGGTCAACTTCTGTCAGCAGAGGATGCCGCAGAAGATTTGGGGACAGGTTTGCTGGAATTATGGGTAACCCCCAATTTAACATATTCCTGCAGGAAACACAAAATAACTGCACCTTTAAGAATCACATACACCCCCCAAAAAAATGGAGAAAAAACCCCAATGACAGCAGTAACGGAAAGAACTCTACCAAGTCCATATTCGAGCAAATCCCTATATGGAGCAGTTGTGTTTGCATCTGGGTTAGGACAAGCACACATCACTGTAAATAATTCATGTGCATCCATCCAGCCTGGAAAAACGCTTTGGAAAATTCTTCTATAGCGATGGGTAAATGGGTTATTTGAAAATGAGCTTGGTTTGGGGTTTTGGGATACATACATAGAGCATAAATATTTTTGCATTTAGGGTTTTTTCTTTTTTTAAACACAATGCATTTTGTGTCCGCTTCCCTGCCCCCCACTCCCCAACACAAACACTTTTGCTTAAAATGAGGGGCAAGTGGGGGTGGGCAGGTTTCTAGAAACAAGAACAGGGAGAAAGCTCGGGGCTGGAGATGGAGCCGTGGCTCAGCAAAGTAACGGTTAGCGGGACAGCCAACGGGAGGACTGCCATAAGCCAGGAAGGTGGAGTCGTCGTCCTTTTGTTTGCTTTGTTTTGTTTTAACTGCTGGTTTCTTCATCTGTTTTATTCAGTTTCTTCAGCGTGTCCAGCAGTTTCTGCGGGGTGAGGATGTGAGTGGACCCTGTGGGAGGCAGAGGGAAGGACGGGTAGATCGTTAGTGCTCTGAAGGGTCAGTTCGGCAGCTTTCACGCTGCGATCCAGCCTGTGCACCCCATCTAAGAAAGGGCCTGGGCAGCCCTGCTCCCCCCGCATAGTGACGGCCGAGGCAGCAAAGTTAAGGTTGGTGTTTCAGGTGCTGGGGAGGGAATGAGCTTCCCATTGGAGGGCTTTGGTACAGCCAGTCTGAGCATGGGAGGGTGCGCCCTCGCAGCTGAGCGTACGTCCACACTTGGATAGGCACCTCGTTGGGCTGCCAGAGAAAGAGGCGTGTGGCTTGGTGGCAGAGCCCCCCGTCCGCCCTCCATGCTCCCTCGCGGCTGTATGGGTGGCCCCATGTCTATAGTAGGGATGGGGGGGGGGATGACAGGGCCTGGCGGGCGTTCGCTAACGCAGCTGGACTGCTTCGGCTGTAAAGCGCGCACCATGCTCGCTACTGCTCTGGAAGCGAGGGGGAGAGAGAGAGAGAGCAGGCACTGTGTGAGAGCAGCGTGTGTGCACCCCCCCCACCCCTCCCCCAAGGGCATCCCCCTGCCCCTGAACCTGCCCTCCCTCCCCAGCGATGGTCACTGCCTTGGCCAGGCGAGCGGAGGCCAATTCTAATCCCTGAGGCCTTACCTTGCACAGAGCGCACGGAACAGTATTGGAAATGCTTGCAAAAATGGCCGCCTACGGCACTAAGAGTGTCTCTATTGCGGAAAACGATAAAGGAAAGAAAAAGAAATAGACGGAGGCCTCTCCGCAAGAGAACTAGGTTCAGCAACGGAATGAGGCATGGAAGGTGTGGCGGGGGCATGGACGGCGTGGCGTGCATGGAGCGGCAGGCGTGGTGCGTGGCGCATGAGGACGGCACGTGCAATGGCAGCCCTCGGGGAAAGACACAACCACCACCACGGCCGCCGCCATCTCGGGCGGGAGAGGAGACCCACATGGAAAGTCGTCAGCACTTGAAAATGTGCCTCCCTTGAAAGATGGAGAACAGGCGCGGAGGAGAAAGGGGGGTCGCAGGAAGCTAGACTTATACAGGCAGGCAGAAGAACCTTCAGCCACGGGCTGGGCCTACATCCTTACATAAGGGAGGAAATCAAGGTGTGTCAGTGGGGCTGGTTCCTTTTGCCAGCAGCGAACGGCATCCTTGGGTAGAGAGGGTGCCAGTCGCTCGCTGGGTGCAGCGGCAGGAGATGCTGGAACAGGCCAGAGAAGAGAAAGAGCAGGGAGCGGGAGTGGGAAGCCTTCACAAGCTGCCCTCTGAAACTGGGAACTGATCACTGCAGCAGGAACCTCTCCTGACTCTCCCTCATGGCACCCGTTCAGCATCCATGCAGCTCAGCCCCTGGCCTTGCCAGGCACCAGGCTAAGATATCCAAGACTGTATGCATGGTATGGCCAAGCAGACAGCCGCAACATCATTGAGGTCAACGGAATTATTCCCACATCTCCCTGCTGTACATGAAACCAGAAATAGGCCCCTGATCGCTCCCACCTCATGATATTTATACAGGGAACCCAACTCCAGCCCAGTGCAATGACTCCCAGCCCCTGCCTAAGGCATAGACAAATCCACTCCCACCCCAGGGACTCTCCCGAGCTGGGACTGCCCACCTTACCCAACTGCATCTGGTGGTTTTGTGACACGCACACACGTGCACCAGGGAGTAGGAGGCGTCCCATCCGACTCTTTTCAGTGGAGGAGTTAAGCCATGTTACCCACCCCCCTCTACTCTGGCTCACGTCAGCGGTGGGGAAAGGCGGGTATACAGTGTATCCGAAACACTTGGTTAATGCAGAGAGTTGCATCCGAATTTGGGCTCGGGGTCCCCACGCTTGGTTGCTCTACAGAATGCTCTCACCCTGGCTGAGCGGCTGCAGGGTGGAGGGAGGGGACAGATGTGTGGCAATTTGGCTCATCCTCATCCGCACCAGGTTTGCCCCACAGACTCGGCCCCTCGTCTCAAGCCTCAGCAAGAGTGAACTGCGAGTTTCTCTTGCATAAGGCAAGAAAGGAGGGGGGGGGGAGAAAGAAGGTCTTGTCACTCTGTCGCTTTAACCCTGCTCCCTGCAATATGAACAGCAGCTCATATACTGCGAGGAGAGGCAACCTGGGCAAATCCCACCCACCCCCCACAGCAGATCTGCTTTATTTCCTTCTGGGAGCCCCCTGGCCTCTCCCCCCAGACTCCTTGCCATATTGCTTGTAAAGCACCAGAGATGTAGGCATCACTGGAAGGAAGCCGACCATCTGGGTTGACTCGTTTTTCACACCTGAGTCTGCCAATCCTGTGCTCGGCAGGCCGAGCTGCCCTCTTGGAGAAAGAGAAACGACTGGCAAGATGCTGGAGCTCTTCCAAAAGAGAGAGCAGCCCTCCCGGTGCTGGAATCGTCACCTTCGTCACATAGATCCCAAGAAAATTATCTGCTACAGAAAAAGTCCTAGGGGCCTGAAGATCCCCTAGGTCCCTGTATCTGATTGCCATCCCAAAGCATTCAGAAATCATGGGTCAGGCTGCAAACATCATGAGATTTTAGAGAGTCATACATTTTGGGGGTTCTTTTTAGTTGCCTTCCAGTTTCTGAGGCCTTAGGGGCTCGTGTTTTCAAGCTTTCCTCTGCAACCAGGCTGGCTAGAAACTTACTTTAAAAGACAAACGTGAAAGACGAGAGTCTCATTTAATCACATGACTCCTGGAGCTGGGGCTTTAAGTAAAACAGCTAATACTGTGAAAGTTGGCAGCACTGTTAAAATACGTGGCGCTTTTATACAGCTTTTCATCCAGAAATCTCAAGGCATTTCACAAAGGAAGGTAAATATCACTGACTCACATCCCCAAGGGTATTTAGGTGCCTACATTGAAATCAGTGGGAGTTAGGCTCCTAAATACAATTCAGGATCTGGGCCTAAGTGACTCCTGAAGTATTTGGGGATAAATGCTGCTATATGTGAGAGCTTCCCTCTCTTCTCTTCTGTCCCTGCCCCTCTGCAATGAAATCAATGGGGGGCAGGTGCCTAAACCTCTTGGAGGCTCGGGGCTGTTATCCCCATTGTGAGGAAACTGCAGCACAGAAAGGCAGAATGATGTACTCAATGATGTACACAACTGTGGCAGCCTCAGGACCAGAATTTAGTTTTCCTGACTCACAGTCCCGTGGTCTAACTGCAAGGCTGTGTAGTCTAGTGGTTCTCAAACCTTTCCAGACTACTGTCCCTCTTTCGGGAGTCTGATTTGTCTTGTGTACCCCAAGTTTCACCTCATTTAAAAACTACTTGCTTACAAAATCAGATGTAAAGCTACAAAAGTGTCCCAGCCCCACTATTACTGACAAATTGCCGACTTTCTCATTTTTACCATATAATTATAAAACAAATCAATTGGAATATAAATATTGTTCCTACATTTCAGTGTATAGTCTATAGCGCAGTATAAACAAGTCATTGTCTGTATGAAATTTTAGTTTATTCTGACTTCACTAGTGCTTTTCATGCAGCCTGTTGTAAAACTAGGCAAACAGCTAGATGAGTTGATGTTCCCCTGGAAGAGCTCAGAGTACCCCCAGGACTACACGTACCCCTGGTTGAGAACCAGTCTAGCAATTAGACCTTGGCACTGGGCGTCAGTTGTTATGGTCCAAGTGACGAGGCACTCAACAATGAGATACCACGCCTATGCATTTTATTACTCCTGTCCGTACTGCGTCGGACTCTGCACTGGATAAATCCCAAAGGCCTGTCCCAGCATGCCTTATAAAAACTTGGGCTAGGGTCTCTGGGAGCAGCCTCTTCTTTGGTTATTCTAAAATCCTGGTCAGGCACCTGGATGGGGATGTTCAGTACGGCAAATGACCCGGGTTCTAGCCATGACTCTGCCACTGGCTCTCTGCATGGACGGAACAGTCCCGCTCTTCCGGGCACTGGTGAGGTCTCAGCTGGACGACTGTGTCCAGTTTGGGCCCCGCGCTCAACGAAAAATGTGGACACGCATCCCCTGAAAGAAATAAACTATCTGTAGCACCAAACCCTGTGCCACCTGCCTGCAATCGGCATGCCACCAGCACCGATGAGAAACTCCCACTAGGGTACTTAAGATCGGCTGGAGCAATCGCCTCGCTTTTAACAAAGCTTTTGCTGTTTGCATCCTGTGAAAGCAGAGATCCAGACCCCAGAGCAATGTTCAAGAAGCGGGTCCTGAACAGCACAGCACAGACATTTGGGCTCTACCGAGCACTTCTCGTCCCCATCTCGTCTGACTGCAGACTGGATGGGGCATGGGTGTGTGATAAGCAGGGGACCCTGAGACAATCTGGCATCTCCAGTGCATGCCAGGTGAGCAGCCCAGGGAGGCAGAAGAGATGTCATTGCTATGGATGTTTTTCAACGCAAATGTATTTAGAGTCATGCTGTGAATTTGTGCAGCAAACTTGCCTCCTCAGATGCTTTTGCCTGGCAAACTTGGCAGTGGGGGAGGCGGTTGATGCTTAAATCTGAACCAAAAGACTTTGCACTGAAGAAATATTTGCCTGGATGCTAACATACGGTCTGGTAAAGCCAATTAAGCTGATTCTCTCCCTTGCACCTGAATGACATTTGCACCCAACCTCTGGCCATGGACAGTGGCCCTTTAATACAGTGGCTGCTTGTGACTGTCAAGTTGGGACAGTGCATGAACGGACTTGTAAGCTCTGTAGGCCACAGGTCTGGGTTCAGATGATGAGAGTGGCCCGCAATCGGATCCAGTTTAAACAAAACTAAAGGGGAGCCCTTGGGCTCCTGGCCACCTTGATAATCACACTGACAATCCCTAGCATGTACTCGATGGGGCGACAGACATGGAGGGCAGGCAGTGCTGGGAGGGGCAGAGGTGCACTGTCTCTGCCCTGCAGCTCAGGGTGGCAGCACCGGTGACACGAGCGTTTGCCTGATCGGAACCGACAGGAGGACCTCGCCGGAAAGAGGCAGGAATAATTAACATCCAGCCACATCTGCATCAGTGCAGCTTTCGTTCACCTGATCCTTCACCAGCTGCTTCTAATAAACCGAGGCACTTGGAGCATTTCCAGGAGCAGGGAGACAGTGTCACATCCCCTTTAGAAAACGGGCCAGTGCCATCTGGTGCTGCTCTACACACATGCATGGAGGGCTCTTTAAGATTCTTTCCCCTACTTTCATACTTTCCTCATTTATTATTCCTGGGGGAATTCTGCACCACTGTGCATGCACAGAATTCATGTGCCCCACAGATTTCTTTGCTTCCCCGCAGAAAAATGACTTTCTGATGGGGAAGCTACGAGAAGCCACAAGAGCAGTCATGCGACCCTCCCCAGCAGTATGTTTTGGGTGCCTAGGGCAGCTGGCACACAGGTAAATCACTGTGGGGCGGGGGGTGGGAGGGGAAAAACCTGGCTGGTGGCTCCTACCTTGCGCCAGGCTCAGCTGCTAGTCCCGGCTGGGCTGGGGAGGACAGGACTTTCTCTTCCCCTACACAGCATCTAAGGCCAGGTCAGACCCACTCTCAGATTGCCCCCCAGATTGCAGGAAGCTCTGCAAACTCCACCCACCCACCCACCCACCCCCATCGCTCCTCAGCTGTAGGGGGAGGGATCAATGTACTGGGAGCTACTCCCCCATCCGCCCAACCCCCGTGTATCCAGACCCCCTCATACCCAGACCCTCCTGCTGAGCCTCACCCCTCCCACCCAGAACCCCTCCTGCTGAGCCCCACTTCCCCTGCACCTGGACCCCCCCAATGAGTCACCCAGATCCCCACCCCACTAAGCCCCAACCAGCTGCACCTGGATCCCCACCCCACTGAACCCCGCACACCCAGACCCCCCTGCTGACTCTATCCCCCCCCCACACACACACACAGACACCCCCCACTGAACTCCAAGCACCTTCACCTGGACCCCCTCTGCAGAGTCCCATTACCGTTGCACCCAGAACTCCCCAACAAACCCCTGTGCATCCAGATCCCCCCCACATCCAGATCCTAGCACCAGAGGATTGAAATAGGCTATGGCAACACCCCAACATTCTCCTGTGGAGTGAATGTCAGAACGACGGGAACAGTCATCTGATGTGCGGCAGTGATTATTATCCAACAGTCATGTAACTCTGTTATTGAATGCTACAAGGAGTCTGTGTGGCCCCTACCACCTGGAAACCATGATTTGTCCTAACACCCGATCTGCTATGCATGTCCTCTCTGGATCCAACGTAAGGGACTCTGTTGATTCAGCTACACATTGCTCAGCTCACGCTCCACATCCATGCATGTGCCATCAGGGCCTAACTTGGGCTGTAAATCCATGCACACACACTGACGGTCTGCAAATCACAAGATTCCCCACTTTCCCCACTCAGCTGCCTTAAGTGTAAGCATCTTTCCAGTCAAGTGAAGGCCAGTGAACCATTGCCACCTGCATCTCTGTGACTACGTAATGGGTAACTAATGGCATGAGGATGCCGGCAAGTTCTGGCCACAAAGAGATTCATGGTATAGGGTTAATGGAGGCAGCACTGGACACATTTTCAAACCGGTAGTAAGAACTGCAAGCATTTTCTCATCAAAGAACCAAAAAAACAAAAGAAAAAAAAAAAAGAAGAGTAGAAATAATAATAACTAAAGAAAAAAGAGTGACGGAAGAATCAAAGAAAACCCTTCCGAGTGGAAGAGTTTCTTTTCTTTAATAAGCTGCTTTTACTTTGTTTCTTTGGCTCTCACTCCATTGTTGGAGCCTGATCCTCAAAAGATACCCTAGTGGAGTCCCTGAAGTCGGGGTGCCTCAGGTCCATGAGAAATTTGGTGGGAGTAAGAATGTGAGTAGAACCTGTGAGAGAACAGAGGCGGGCTGACTTCTTGAACAGAAATAAATTAAAGGAACATTCCAACTTAGGCCTAATATTCATAATACACAGCAGGTGAGGATGGGTGAAAAAGCCAGTGAGAGACACAGAGAAAGATGGGGATAAATGTATGATTGGATGAGCAATGCCGCGTGCATTTACACATGAGCTCAGAGGCTGGTCTTACGCGGTCACCACTGGGCCTCCGTGGGTAACCAAGGTGTGTTGTATGAAGACAACAGCAACAGTCGATCATCTGTCTCCTCCCCCAGGCCTTGCCTCAGATTTCTGCTGGGCTGCTAAGCTTCTAACTAGGACCAAGGCCAGATCCAGGGCCACTGAAGTCAATGGGAGTCTTTCCATTGACTCCAGTGGACGCTGGGCCAGGTCATACGAGAGAAACCTTGAAAGGATCGAATGGACTAGACCTTAGTCAGAACCCTGCTTAGCAAGGAGGCCCGGAGGTAAACTGCTGCCTTCCAGGAAGGGTTTGAGACGCTCAGCATCGTCGGGGGACATTAAACACACATGCAACGATCACAGAGTCGCAGACCAGAGAGCACGTTAACGGGAGATATGACAGTGCCATGAGAATGTTGAGGTTACCCAAGACATAGGACGGCACGGAGAGATGGCTGACCAGGCTGCGGGGGTTAGAGGAGGAGTTAAGGGGAGTGAGGAGTGCATGTTCCAATGGAGAAAATCCAGTGAGCAGATGAGGTACTGCTTAGAGGAGCCACGAGGGGTGCCGCTGGCCTACGTTTTGTGTGTGTCAAGCTGAGCAGTGATAAGGGCACAGTCCGGAGTGGAGTCAACTGAGCCCATAGTGCTAACCCAGCCGGAGTGAATGTCATACTCAGGAACGTGGGGACCTAAGAGCACTCACTAGAACGAGGCGCAGATTCTCCCGTCCCCCTCAGACTGGACCCACACCTGCTCCTGCTCTTCCAGACCTGCCCCCACCCAAAGCACAGGCAGACACAGAGCACCACGGTGCACTTCAGTCTTGACCTGTCCCAAGAAAAAGGCCAGTCTCTCCCTGTCAGAATCATGCATTAGCCAGTCCTTCTCCCCTGGTGTGTTTGTGGCTCCTCGCTCCTCTGCCATCAGCTGGATTTTGGCTCTACCGCTGGGACATAAACACACTCTGTGCTGCCCCTATGGCAGCACTTCCAAGCATTTGCCGTGGAGAAGATCTGTGGAGATGCATACATTTTCTGACTAATAAAAACCATTGTGGTGTGAGACGAATTAATCAAATCTCATGCTTCAGGGCCAAAACAGGCCACTTCAGGGGTCAGGAAGGAAATTCCCCTTTGCTCCCACTCAACCACCCGCCTTGTGTAGCACTGAAAAATTGGCTGTGCGAGAGAGGTCACCTTCCCCTGAAGCATCAGGTATTGGCCACTGCCCGAGCCAGGATGCCAGACTCAAAGGGTCAGTGGTCTGTAGGGGCAAACCCTGTGTTCTCAGGTGTGGGTGTGGGTGTGGCGGGGGGAATGAGCTTTCGACACTAGTCCTTCCCACACGGTCATCTGGAGACTGGATTTTGTCTGCTTGCCTTTGGCACAGAGAGGAATGGCTTTAAGAGAGAGGGTGAGACACAGAAGCATGGGATGGAGCCAGAAAGTGCGATGGAGCAGTGCATGGCTCTGCCCAGACCGTCCGCGGCACTCACCTATTAGCACCTCCCACTTGCCGCTGGCTTGCGTCACCTCGTAGGCGCAGCGCATCTCGCTCAGGCTCACGCCCCCCAGAATGAAGATGATGAGGCGAGGGCCAGCCCTGTACTCACCGGGGGCCTTGTTCTTATGCCAGTGTCCATAGCGGGCACTAGAGAGGGAAGGGAGCAGGGAGTGAGGTGAAACACAGCATACAGTCTCTGCAGACAGATGGCTTTGAAATCACTACACCCCATGCTAATCAACTCCTATGTCTGCTCATTGCTACAGAAGAGTGAAGGCCTCTGAGATGAATTCCTCTGGGCAGTACTTGGTGAGAGATGTGGGCTAGTGTCTGAGCACAGGGCCGGGAGTCAGGATTCCTGGGTTCTGTTCCCAGATCTAGTGTCTCAGCACAGGGCCAGGAGTCAGAATTCCTGGGTTCTGTTCCCAGATCTAGTGTCTGAGCACAGGACCGGGAGTCAGGATTCCTGAGTTCTGTTCCCAGATCTAGTGCCTGAGCACAGGGCCGGAAGTCAGGATTCCTGGGTTCTATTCCCAGATCTAGTGTCTGAGCATAGGGCAGGGAGTCAGGACTCCTGGGTGCTATTCCCAGATCTAGTGTCTGAGCACAGGGCCGGGAGTCAGGATTCCTTGGTTCTGTTTCCAGATCTAGTGTCTGAGCACAGGGCCGGGAGACAGGATTCCTGGGTTCTGTTCCCAGATCTAGTGTCTGAGCACAGGTCCAGGAGTCAGGATTCCTTGGTTCTGTTCCCAGATCTAGTGTCTGAGCACAGGGCCGGGAGACAGGATTCCTGGGTTCTATTCCCAGATCTAGTGTCTGAGCATAGGGCCGGGAGTCAGGACTCCTGGTTTCTGCTCCCTCTGCAGTCTTGAATAAGTGACAGTACCTATGGGGAAACTGAAGCAGGGAACTCCATACTGAAGCAGAGAGGTTGACAGTGCTGCCTGCTCTCCTGGGGCTGGTGGGAGGGTTTATTAAAAGTGCTAAATATTATTAGAACACAGGCAGCAGTAATAAAGGTTGGTGCTGCTATACCGCTTTGCATGCAGAGATCTTAAATGGTTTCAATTCGCAGTAAGCTGTCCCTCTGCTACAGAGGGGGAAACTGAGGCACAGAGCAGTTTCCACCTCTAGGTGTTCCAGTTTAGGAAAGGTTCAGGATTCAAATTCAAGCCATGGACTAGCGTCGATGCAGGGCAGTGGTGAGGTGCAATGGCAGATCGAGGGGATGGTTGGGGTTCAGAACTGGGCCATCGGGGACTGCTGTTGGACTGGAGCGAGGCGTACCTCACATCCGCATGCCTACTCTGTGCCTTGCTCTGGGCACTTTGGACAGCTCCTCACTCCTATGGAGTCAGAAGGGAAACAACACAGAAGAAACAAAAGCAGAGTCCCTGTGAGTTGCTGGTGCTGGAGTGATGGTGGGTTTATTCACCTGCCAAATACACATGTACTTTTGTAGCCAGGTCCCGACACCCTCCTCTCACCCGTTTACAACAAACAGGATTGAGCTGTGTCCAGACTGCAACTTCCCTCACCCATGTCAGTGCAGCCACACCTCCCCTGCTGCCTAACCACATATGTGTTGCAAAAACCTGAGCAATTATCCCATAGTGCCTTAGTGGGGGAGAGAGTGCCTGGGGTACCAGCACGGAGGTCAGCAGCCCATTGGGCAATGCATTCTGGGATGTTGTGACAGCCTGAAATGTCACATGGAGGCAGAAAAAACCTCACAAGTAGCTGACTCCAGTTAACCAATCCCCTCAGAGCCTGCTGGGAGTGGGCAGGGCCTGGGCCTATATAAGCCAGACCTGGCTCATTCCTGGAGGCAGAAGTGCCAAAGGAAAGCAGGAGTGGGGGGGGTCACCCTGAGAGAAAGGTACTGAGTTTAGGGAGCATGGGACACCAACTGGGCCTGGAAACTTTGGCCGTGTCTGGAAGGTAAGAGAACTTATGGGGAGACTTTGGGTGTAGATGATGATAAACTAGATACCAACAGACCTCTGATAAGTGTTACTCTGTTCTCTCTGGCTCCCTTTTTCTCTACCCCCCCCCTTTTTCTTTTCCCAGGGTGATCAGGTTATCCTGGCTGGCCAGGCAATAGCTTGGTGGCAGGTGTTGTCTCCCATGGAGAGCTGGGAGGAAGCAGTTTAACCTGTTACACAGGCACACCTGGTGATCCTATCGATGCAGCAAACTGAAGAATGTCATGAGTGAGTTACAGATCAGTCCCGTGCCAGGCAAGGCCTGCGGAAAGGGGGATGCATTGCTAGCTGCAGATTGAGCACATTGTGTGTAGGACAAGCCTGGTTTGCGCAGACCATGGCAATAATGAGTTACAAGGTATCGTAGGAAGATAAGTTGTGCTTAAGGCTCTGTGTGGGGACTCAGCAGACCTGAGTTCAGTTCCTGGCCCTGCCATATGCTATCTGTGTGATGATGGGTAAGTCATTTATCTACCCTGTGCCTCAGTTCCCTCTCTAGAAGGGGGCTGATACTGGTGTGTGGGAAGGATACAATCCATCACGGCATGTGAGGCACAGACACTAAGGTAATGTGAGCAAAGAGGCCCCATGCAGATGGGGCCTAACTGAACTCTTCTGTGCCCTACGAAGTCCTGAAATTGAGAGAAGCCAAGGGGGGCAGAGGGCCAAGGCTGGCATGAGTCTCAAAGCTGCACCTCCTCCCAGAAAGGGCATGGTGGCCCCTCTCCGCAGGGCTCTACCTACCTGACTGCAGTGGTACTGAAGGAGGCCGAGGAGCGGGTGGAGATATAGGGGTAGTGCTTGGTGTCCAGTTTGTCCTCAATAGTGTCCTGGGAAGAGAAGAGCCTCACATCAGTATGTAGCGGGCAAGCCCATGTGACGCTGTCTGGATCAGCTCCAATTCCTCTGATCGGGCAGCTTCCTGGACCCAGCTCTGGAGGTCATTCCAAGGGGATGGACCCTTCCCACTGGATCCTTGGCAGAATTCCTCCAGAACTGTCCCATTTGGGGGAAAAAAAAAAGCCCAGCTATCCCTGCGCTCTAGCAGAGTCTGGGTAACTCAATCCTGCCCCAGCCAAGGTGGGGAGGGACAAGATGCCCTCGAGGCTCCATCCAGCCCTGCGTGTCTGATTCTGTCGTTTCCCTGCTCCTTCCTGGGTTTGCCAGCCAGCCCAATGAGCGAGTCCCTCTCCTTTCAGCCATAGCTACTGAATGCCTAGGGCAAGCCCGAAACCTAAGCCACGTGCCACGCAAATCCGTTCTGCACCCAAATCCCTGGGACCATCACTTAGTTGGCGGCTAAAAACTGTCGAGTCACCCCGCAAGTTCCCGGCGCCTCCATCCCTCCTAACTGAGCAATGGGGGACAAATAGGAGCCAGCCAGCTGTTTGGCTCCTGAATGGGAGCTTTGTCTCTACTGGTTCACAGCCACCTCCTGTCACCCACCAGGTCTTTAAGCCTGAGAGGGTAATTACTATGAGCAGCTCCCCAGCATGACCTGCTAGGAACCCCGGTGGGCCATGCAGCCTTAATGAGTCATTGGCATCTCCTCTGACTTACTCTTTACACCACCACCCCCAAATACTGGTGCAGGGCTGAGCCAAGGGTCGCAGAGCTCTGATTAGTGCCTCATTATTGCCTTCAGCAAGGGCCACTGATGTAAAACTCGGGGAGGGGACATGGCTGATGTGGGAGCTCGATGGAGGAGTCCCTCAGTGAGGGATAAAACCAAAGTTAGGGACATAGGCATCTGCTCTCTCCTCTCTGCCAGGTTTGGGGTTGATTCCTAGCACGTACCAAGAGTTCACTAGGTCGATTTGGCATTCAAAGATAATAGTGGGCTGATTTTTTTTTTTCTGATCTCCGTAGATCTGTATGCACAAGATTCCTATGTGCACCTCTCTTCTCCACCTGACATAGCTCATCATAAAACATTAGCTACCCTTCCCTGACCCACAATGTGGGAATAAAAACACCCCCACTCTTAGCCTCCAAATGAGCTTCCTCCTGTACAGCATCAATAATATCCAAACAGTTGCCATACTGGATCATAGTGGGGGTCTATCTAATTCACTAACAGATTGTGAACTCTTTGGGGCAGGAACCAACTTTTGTTCTAGCACCATGGGGCCCTGATCCATGACTGGGGCTCGTAGGTGCTATGGTAATACAAATAAATCTGTATACTGTAATAAGGTTTAAGGAATTTGTGGTCGCTCTGAAGTCTTGAATAACTGCGTCAGTGTGAAGTGATGGACGCAGCTACAAGCATAGCTGAGAGATCCTTCTGTTCAGAATATCACCACATTCAATCAGCACTGGGTTTCAGTCTGTTGCCATCCAGTTTTTAAGTTCAGTCATTTTGATTTTATGAATTACACCTGTGTGGTGTCCAGCTACAGTATAGGGCATAGACACATGCCTTAGTCCTGGACCAGTATAGGGCATAGACACATGCCTTAGTCCTGTGATATCGGAGGTAACTCAGTCAATCTCCACCCTTACTATACAGCTCATCTGCATGCAACAATTTCATTGGCCGTATGAGGGAGACTGCCTAGTTGGTAGATTACTTGGCCTAGCTACCACCCACACAAATCTCCCAGTACAACCTTCCCCAGCCACACAACCACATGACCAGCATACACAATAACCCCAAACACATGTAGCCCCTCATCTGCCACCCACACAAATCAACACAGCCACTCATACATCAGCACAAACAACAACCCCAAACTTCACTGGAAGTCTCAAATGTCTGAGTCAGTGTCAAGTGATGGAAACCGCTACAAGCATGGCTGAGAGCACTCTTTGTTTAGAACAGCACCAGGCTGACTCATCCCTGGGCTCTGCAGTCTGATACCATCCAGTTTAAATTCTCAGCCATTTAGAAGCTAATTACACACAGGCTTGGGTTACTAGTAAATAGTAAGATCCCATTTCCAATAGTGGCTAGCACCAGGGGGAAGTGTAAAACTCGGGCATGGGAAGTTATGGAATAACCTGAGTGGGGTTGGGGAAATTTATTCTGAACCTAGGTACTAGTGTTTACTCCTCTTTAACCAGCCTGAAGATCCCATGAACACGCAAGGGAGAGCTCTTCTCTTGATGAGGCATTGGTCTAAGATCTGGCTCTTTGTCGAGGATCCATTTGCGCTGATAGAGATGGGGCTGAGTTGCAAAATTTGAATCCTGGGTTTTGCTCTGGGCTCCAGCTCTCCCCTTTAGACTTTGTAAATCGTTTTAAAACCTTGTTGTGCCCAATGCAGGCCCTGTCAGAGGGGACACACCCAGCTCGCCAAAGACATGGCTGTGTTCCTCTTCAGGGCTGTCTTTTGCCACTAGGTGGCAGCATAGGCAAGGGTCCTTCCTAAACTGTGTCACTGAGAAATTAACACCTGTCCCGCACTGAACACTTGCACAATTGAGATCGGAGAGTAGGTGTGATATTAGGGCAATTGCCCTTGAAAGATCCGATCGGGAAACATCTTTGTTCAAACCCAGCACTGCTCTTTGCACCCAGCAGGATCAAACTCTGATCTGTTCCTTGGGGGAATGGAGTAAATTTATTTCCTTACCCCTCCCCACTTCACCCTGCTCCACCGTGGCACCACCCTTGCCATGTGAAACCAGAGCCCAGGGATGCAGGGTGACCAGCTCAGAGGCCAGAACTTGGGGGCTGGCTTTCAGAGCTCCACCTCGCTCTGTACGTCTCAGTAAATGCAATTTTAAATGGAACGGAAGGCTGTCTCCCTAGATCGGTGTGGATCACATGCTCTCTCCGCAGCTGTCCTGCTTGCTGAACTGAGGGATGCAGCCAACACAGTCCAGGTTGTAAAGAACCATGTGGTCCTGGAAGTGGGTGAATTTCTTTATCCATTTGTTTTGTTGTCGCATTCAGGAGCCCCAGTCATGGACCCGACCCTATTGGGCTTTACAAAAATAAACAGTCCCTGCCCCAAAGACCTTGCAATCGAAGCACTGTGCTCCAGGATCTTGCTGCAGTCACAGGGACTATCTCCACTAACAAAACTCCTCCCTTCCCCCGCACCTCGCCGTCCATACACTCATCACTGATTTACCTCCATGATGTCCTTCACAACCGGGGTCCATCGCGAGAGCTGGTAGGTCTGCTCGCTGATCCGCTCCTTCCGCTCCGGCTTGCTCCTGCGACGCAAGGTAGACTGGAAACAAATGACACATGCAGAGAGCCTTTAAAAGGAAGGCTCGGCTCCGGAGCCTAGAGACCCCTCCCATTCCCCACTAGAAGAACGCCTGGTGCCAGTCCCTTCCTCCAGCAATGAGCTGAGGCAGTCCACACTCCTCTGCCTGGACCCTGCCTGCCCTGGGCCGGTCTTGCCACCGTCGGCAAGGGAGGGCCAGTCATGCTGGATCCACAGCCTCTGACCCAGAGATGAGAGCGTTAGCTGGCCCCAGACTCACTAATTCTGCTTTGTTACATAAGTACATTCACTCCCTGCGTCCCAGCTTCTGCAGGGATCCCTCCGCACCAGACATTTTGGATTTAATTACAATCCCAAAGCGAATAAGAATTCAGCTGTCACTTTAGTGGCCTCCTCTGCTGGTGTCTACCAGTAATGGCTAACCCTAATCCAGGATAGTTAGTGGGATGGTGATAGACCCCACAGCTTGTGACCAGTTGAGAACCAGTCAGTCTGGCAATGCTGGAGGAACAATATGCTTATAGCTGCAGGTCTCTTGGCCAGTCAAGCAAGCCCAGGAGGGGCTGATGGCCAGTGTAGCACACAGGGACTCAGAAGCTCTGGTTCCATAGGGGGCAGTTGGGTGCTTACGTCTGTGATGATGGGCAGCCCGAGGTGGGCCATGTTGGTGATGATCTCGCTGTCCTCCGGTGGGATTTGAGCGTGCTGGATCAGTTTGTTCAGGTTTTCCTCTGTGATCCCTAGGAATGCAAATGGGGAACAGCTTCCCAAACTGAAACTCTTCTCCTGCCCTGGGCTCAGAGGTCACCACCCATCAATCATCAGCGGGGAGCCTCACTCATGAGGCTCCTCCCTCAAGACACGAAAGCGGCGGCTGTTGCTCCAATCCCATCTTCCCTCCCACTTTCACTCCATCACTTCCCTCCTTCAGAGCTGCTCTCCTCCCTAATGACCAGCTCTCCTGTGCATTGGTTCTGCACCTCCTACACCAGGGGCTCTCAACCTTTTCCTTTCTGAGCCGCCCCCCCCCCCCCCAAAATGGTAGAAAAACTCCACGGCCCCACCTGTGCCACATCACCGGCTTTCTGCATATAAAAGCCAGGGCCGGCATTACGGGGTAGCAAGCTGGGCAATTGGCTGGGGCCCCAGGGGCTCCCGCGAAGCTACATCACTCAGGCTTCACCTTCAGACCCAGGGGGCAGGGATCAGGGCCCTGGGCTTCAGCCCCACATGGTGGGCCTTCGGCTTTTTCCCCGGGCCCCAGCAAGTGCTGGCTCTGCTTGGTGGCCCCCCTGAAACCTGCTTGCGGCCTGCTCGGGGGAGGGGAGGGGGGGGGGCAGACCCCTGGTTGAGAACCTACAGCATAGCGCCGGCTTGGGAAGCTAGGGGGAGTCCTGGGTCAGACCCAGCTGTGCCACTGAATTGCAAGATGACTTTGTGGAAATCCCTTCCCCTCACCATGCCTCCGTTTCCTCCCTCTGTAAAAGGAGGAGGATGGTAACAGCCTCTTGGCAACTGTTCCAGCACGATGCAGCCTTCCCAAGTGCTAAGAGGCCAGACGGTGAAGTGCTGATCAGTGTTAGAGAACTATTGTGAGAGGGAGCCCTATTGACGTGAGCAGGCTGAGTCACTAATCATCTGTGCAGTTGGTGGCTTGTGCACAGGCTAAATATTTCTGTGGGTTGCGGGTGTAAATCCATGTGCCCAGTGCATGATTTACCCATGCAGTGGAAGAGCGGGCAAGTAGCTCCAATTCCTTGTCTGACAGGGGTCTGAGCCCTTCACATCAGTCTGCAGCAGCCAGTTCTCCTGGATTCTATGCCTGAAGAGCTCTGTCCCCACCGCTTTCCTTCTGTTCCCCGCCCTGCATCTTCTCGCCTTCCTCTAGGCTTTCCTCCCTCCCCTGCTCTGTCTCCATTTGCCTATGCCCAGAGGAGCTCCTCTGCCCATCCCCCAGCCCCCTCCGCAGTTTCTCCTCCTTACCGTTCTTCAGGAAGATGTAGAGCAGGATGATGCGGATCTTGTCGTAGGTGCTGACGTTCGCATCCAGCAGGATTGGGACAATGGCCCTCATGGGGTCCTTGATCTTCTCCCCTTCGGCATCAGTGCCCATAGCCAGGTCCTGCAGAGAACGCACATGCTCGTTATCTCTTACCCCTGGAGTTCTTCCCAGGGCCAGGCTGCAAGCCACCATGGGGAGCCTCTGGGTTGGCTTCAGAGGGGCATGTGGTCTCTGACTCCCTTAGGCTGACTGACACCCAGTTACCAGTGTGCAAGGAGCAGAGCAGGGGTCTGAGCACCTCACTGCCTAGATTAAAGGGAGAAGCTCAAGTGTGTGTTAGCCTTTTTCCTTGTGAAGGTCCCTGACCCTGATCTAGACGGTGCAGGTGGATCACTAGAGGGAGTGAGCAGCCAGCTCTGCTTTAGCCGCAGGAGGCTAAGCAGGTGGTGGGTGAGAACTAAAACTCCACCCCAACCAAGTGAGGCTGTGGCTCCTCCAAGGAGCATCAGCCCCAGGCTTACCTGACAGAAGGGTTTGGACTCTGGCAGTCAGGCCACAAACCTGGGCTGGTGACAGATGAAAGCCCCCTACCCTTCTGGGTAGTTCATGGAGACAGGAACACACTGCCCAGAACAGGCCCCTTCTCTACAGCACCAGGGTCTAGGCCAGAGGATTTCTCCCATAGAGGGGAGAGTGTCCAGTGACCCTGCCCCTTTTCTGGGTGTGGGGGGGGGGGAAGAGACTAGCTTAAAGCTAGATGGAGGACCCACTTACATGTGCCTCCAGAGTCTCTCTTCCCACCTGGGAAGGGTGTGAGGTGCAGCTAGGGAAATTCTGTGAAGGGGGAACAAACTGTGTCTAAATCAAGAACGCTGTCCTGCCATCGGGGGCCCCCATCAGCTTGGCAGTGCTGCACTCGCCCTCTCTAGGCACCGCCAGGTCTCGGCTCCTACGACTGAGCATCAAGCACGCCAAGAGCAGGCAGCACGGCGCTAAACCCAAGCTGAGGCCCCCGCAAGAACAGGCCTGGGTAGTCTGGGGGACATGAGTGCCCTGGTGAAGGAGGGATTCTCCCCTGGGGTCTGCAGGATCTTTGGGCTCTGAGGCTGCATTTGAGTTGGCAGGGACTGCATGAGGAGGAGAGCACGTGGTGCCAGAGGGGGAGTGGAGAGAAGGACAGAGGAGACCAGGACCTGCTCAACACGGCAGAGCTTATCCACGGTGCCTTGGTAGTGCTTCATGCAGTCCTCAGCCAGGTGCAGGTGAGTCGAGTACTAAGAAGACACAAGAGGTAGACACAGGCCTAGCAGTGGCAGCTGCAGTAGGTTCCTCGGAGCTTAAAACTAGCTCAGCGGACCAAAGCCTCTGCCGTTGAGAAACAGTACTGATTCACACCTGCAGAGGAGCTGGCCCTCTATTTGAGTGTGTGTGAACAGACTTCAAGAGCATACACCTGCCCTGCCACGCCGACCCCCAAGCCTCCCTCGCCACTCTCCCAGGCACAGGGCACTGTGTAGAAAATGGGCTCTGCAAAAAAATATCCATTTCCAGCTGTGACCCTAGAGATGTCCTTGTAGATGTAAGCTGTGCTGAACCCCATCGTGGCTGGAAAAACAAGTCTGGGATTTCAAGCTTCTCTCCGTTATTTTGCTAAAGCAAAGTCGGTGGTTCCTCTTCCTCCTTTTTCCCAGCCCTTCATCACCTTTTTCCAGGAGAATGGATGACCTTGGACTAAAACAGGTTGCAAACTAAGACATGGATGGGAGACCTGGGTTTTGGAACCAGCTGCCCCTCTGACCTGCTGGGTGACCCTGGGCATGTCACTTTTCCTCTTGGCCAGTTTTCTGTTTCCTCCATTTAGATTTTAAGCTCTTTGGGGCCAGGACTGTATCCTACTTCATATCTGTACAATTCCTTGCACAAAGGGTCCTTGAGCTTAGTGGAGACCTCTAACTCTACTGTAATAATAATGTAGAAAATTAGCAATGTGGCTTCCAGCAACTGCCTTCCACATGAGGATGACTCCCTGCCCAACCTCCTATGTAGGCCCTCTCTCCTCCTGCCCCACAACCAACCACTTGGTCCTTATCAGAATTCTCTCTCTGGACCACCAGCAAGGGCTCCACTGATCACTCCTGGCCCACAGCCTTCCAGTCGAGAACTGCTGCCTTTGCCTAAGGAGGAAGGCCAGTGTTAGACATTTTGCATGGAAGATTGCTCATGCCCAGATTCCTTTCCACTAGCAGCCACACGTTTTCCTCATTCGTTTTTACCTTGCTGAGTTCTTTCTGGTACTGGGGCATCTTCTTCAGCATCTGGGACAGGTCCCTCATCGTGGTCTGCAAGGAAAGGAGATGGCGTGACTTCCCCTGTTGTATCTTTGCCATCATAGGGAGGAAAGCCAGGGAAGAAGACGCCAATGGGAGCATCACACCACCTGCCTTGTAACTCTCTCGGGCAATTCAAATGTATGGCTCTTGGGGGCGGTTGTCAGGATGTCACCAAGTCTCCTCCTGGGCTGGCTAACTTATGAGCAGTAATAAGAGCTGTAGCTATGGAAACTAGAGACGGGGGATCCAGGAGGATCCTGCCCCCCACACACAAATCCAAATGCAATCTAGCACAGTCAGCTGGGGGCAGGATTTTTTCTCCTTTCCCACAAGGTCTCATCAAGGCCAAGAGCTCAGCAGGGTGCAAAGAGGGACTGGATATTAATATGGCGAGTGAGCACCTTCAAAGGATATTGAAATAACACATCCTACAAACCTTCATGCTTCAGAGCCAAACTCTAACTACTAGGGGTCAGGAGGAAACCTTCCCATAACTGCCTATTGCTGGGCTTCTTGCATCTTCCTCTGAAGCAGCTGGTGCTGGCCACCATCAGAGAGAAGATCCTGGACTAGATTGGATCAGACCTGAGGCCCATCTGGCATTCTCATGTCCCTAAGAGTCTGGTACTGTCCCCTGGTGGCTGCAGGATACTAGGAGTGATGGAGCACTGATTGCATCCTGTAGGGCACATCCTGTATTGCTAGAATGTGACTTGATGGCCCCAGAGGAGAAACACCTGCTCCCTTTCTCCCTTCCCACCCCACACACCTGGAGTTTAGGACCATGCCTAGGGAGTTTATCAGCATTTGAGTCTCTCTCCATAATATGGATGGACTGCTGCCCTCTCCCTCATTTCTAAAAGGGCCCAGGGATTTGAGGGCCCATGGTGCCTTTTGGGACTGGGCTTCAAGCTTCCATGCAGAACCTAGCCTCCCCTTTGCCCCCTGCTCATTCCTTGTGAACGTCTCTAGCAGACTGCTCCAGTGCACGAGGGGGTCAGTTAACGGGAGTGCAGTTCCCACACAAGTCATGGCATCACCTTCTCGCCTGTGTTCATCCTCTTGCTGGAAGAAAATTCCTTTAGCGAGCGGGTGACCTCCCTGGAAAGAAGGGGGCACAATGATCAGCCATCTGCCAGTCCCTATGCACGCGGGCTCCTGCCCACCCTACCCCTTCCTCTGTCCCCAGCAGTTTCACCCACTTCCTCTCTCTAGCCTTCCACAGCCTCCCTGTGTGTTACTGGGGCTTGCTCAAGGGGGTTGGACAGGATTGAAAGCAAGGGCCTAGGAATCCAAGCCCTGTCATAAGATGGGTCCATCTGCAGCGGTAAGTGAGACCCCAGATCAGCTTAACTTTAAGCATATGGTCACGTCCATCCCCAGACAGCAAAGCCTACAGGCCCCTCAGCACGTGGCAGGCAGCTGACTGCACCAGACGCAAGCTTCCAGGAGGCAGAGATGCACTGTATGAGTACAGAACCTTCCTCCCCCTCACGCATCACCTGCTGAGCTGGAGGAGGAGACAGTGGCCGGGCAGCGGAGAGGTGGCAAGGGGTCTGCAGGTTTGGAGTTTACTGACAGGATGGGGGAAGGGAGAGGGCTGCAAAGTTCTGGGGGATCTGGGCACAGCATACAGCATCAATCTACCCTAGACTGCAACAACGCACATGCAGTAGCCAACGGTTAATCCTGTGCTATGCTTCCTGCTCCTCTCCGCAGGTACTGCGCTCCCCCCATGGTGGGGATGGCCAGCGATCACCGGCAGGGGTCCGCCCGCACACAGCGAAGGAGCAGGGTCGAGATGCACTGGCTGGGGAACGAGGGGGAAGCTTTGCCGTCAGTCTCGGAGCTGCTGTGGGCGGTGGTGCAGGAGGTGTAGCACGGGTGTGTGTACCCTCCCCAGCACGGCGGCCCAAATCCTCCTGCCACAGGACACCAGGCCAACGAGACGGGTGGCTTTGCTCTTTGTCTCCGCTAGGGTGCGTCCACGGGGGTGGACAGACGCGCTAAAGCCAGCCGTGTAGCCGGGTGGGCCCGGTTCGGTTAGGACCAGGCTCCAGTGGGGACTGCAGGTCAGGACTGGGGGGTGTTGGCAGAGCTGTGCTGAAACACTCGCCCAGGGCCTGCCTTCGCTCCTCATCTTGCCCGTGGAATTATTTCCACCCTTACTTAAGGCCCAGCGTTAAGCAAGCTGCCTGACCCTGCGCGGGAGGAGGGCGACTGACTGTCCCACCCGTTGTCACTGGGGCACGTGGAACAGGTCAAGCACTCACTGGGACACCTCTGCAATGTGTTTGTGGCGCAAGGTGATCCAGAGGTCGTCGTCCTCGTCCAGGAGAACCTCTTTCACCCGGGCCTCTCCGATGCCGCTTGTTTCATACCTGGAGAAAAGAGCAGGCGTGTCACAGGGCAGGAAAACTGACGGGGGGGGGGGGGGTTCACGCGTCATCTCCTGCTTCTGATGGAGATCCCCTCGTCCCCTCTAGCACCTCCCCTCCCCCAGACCAGAAAGAGGAGAGACAAGACAGTGCATCTTTCACATGAGATGGACTCCCAGGGCCCAGCGGCGTCTCCTCAGTGGGGCGGTACAAGTGCATGTCACACAACAAGTACCGGTCCTGGGGAGTGCTGTGCTCTCTCTCCAGGTGGGTACAGGACTCCCTTCTGGAATTTATTCAAAGTAGGATTATCCTCAGGACCATCATTATTTTCTGTTTGCTCGTTCAGTGCCTAATACATTGGGGTCCTGGCCCGTGCCTGGAGATCCTACTTGCTGGCACAGGACAAAGAATAAAATAGGTGACAGGAGTTGGCTAATCAAGTCTAGAGCTGGTCTCGGATGGTCACAGAGCTCTGTCACTCCATTTATCTGCTTGCGCTGTGGAGGAGAATCAGAACTGGACCTCCTACATCCCCGTGGAAAGGATTTCTGGATTCCCATTTCAGGCTATTAGTGGTTTGGTTTAGAGAGGGAATCGCTCCACCCTCAGGGTGGGGAGAGGGAGAGGAAAGAGTGGGACGTTTACTTTCTTTATGGCTTTACAGTCTTCTCTCCAGCAACCTGACCCACTTCCCTGGCTCTTCCACACTTTGCGAGGAGTAAAAATAGTGACTAATATGCAACAGGTAAGATGCAGCACAACTTCTGCAAATTTCACCAAAATTTCCCTCCACCAAAAAAAATAAAGATCAATGGTCCTAGCAGTAGTGTGGCCTAGTAGAGGCTCAGGAGGCCTGGGTTTTATTCAGGGCTCTACCAGTGACTTCTAGCAAATTGTTTCACCGCTGTTCCTTCTCCTACTCTGTCGGTCTCATCTACTTGTCTTAGACTGTAAACACTTCAGGTCAGGAACACACTCTCTCACTGTGTTTGTACAGCACCTGACGCTCTGGGTGGGGGGACACGGACCTGATCACAGTTGAAGTCTCTAGGAATTACCATAATACAAATAGTTACTACCACTAATAGAATTTTGCAATGGAAAAGACCTAGTACATCTTCCCGCTACTCGCTACTTCTGTAGATTTTTACACTCTGAAGTATGAATATGATGAGCCATTCATTACTGTTAGTGTCTTTTTAAAATGACATGCCCCAATGCTCTTTAAAAGGCTTTGCGCTCAGAATCCATTATGCCTCTCAGCTGGAGGTCTTCAAGTGCTCTGCTGATGGCAATTATTTCACACCACCATCAGGTAAAACCAGTCAAAGCGGATGAGGTTCAAGCCAAAATGTCCAGACATGACTTTGAACACTTCCAGTTGGGGTGACCTCTGGAGACAGAGCCTGTTTTACAGGGGCGCCAGACGCTTACAGTTCCAGGCCAAGCCAGTGAGTTCTTCAGGATTGTGGCAGGCTGCTAGTTGAGAAGCCCTTAATCAGCTCCTGCCACTCCAGCCCCAATCAAGAGGGATGATTGAGGCTGGGTGAATAGCCCAGTGCATGCCCGGTTACTGGCTGCATCTGCCAGTCTTATTAGCCCAGAGCTACAAAGGCTGGGAGGAAGCCAGGGAAAAGGGGGAGAGGGGAAGAGAAAGGTCAGGCAAAGAAGGAAGTGGAAGCCTCCTAGTCTGTTGCTGGCCAGGCTTGTTGTAGGCAAAGTAGCTATGAACCCTGTACATAGTTGGGAACTGGCGGTAGGAAACCTTGTGAGAATAAAGAGCACAGGTGTTGCAGCAGACTGAAGTGTCCCTGACTCATTGAAGAGGGAGGCTGAATACCTAGGGGTGCAGTGTGAAACCCGTTACAAGGATCCATCAGGCTGGGACCAGCCGGAGCTGTAGGGATTAAGGTGTATTGTATATTGCATCTCCTGTACACTGTTCCACTGTACTCACTTGTAGACATCATTTTCGATGGGCAGCAGGTCGTAACTCATAGCCTGGAAAGTCAGTTCATGCAGCACAGGGGATGAGGGGTCAAAGCCACGGTCCAGAATGAGGAGCTGGGAGCGAGCTTTGTCCGGACCCTACCAACACAAAGAGCAAATCATTGTCACTGTGGATCCTCTATCGATTCGAATCACTAACGTGGACATTAGAGGTCACTTGCTGAAATGTGCTCAGATTCAGCCATAGGTTATTGGACTGGGTGCAGAAACTGCCTGGCGAAGCTCTGCTCTGCTCCAGAGCACAGAGGTTGACCTAGATGATCGGAATGGTCCCTTCCAGCCTGATTGATATATATATTTTCATGCACAAGCTAAAAGCAAAGCTAGATATGTTCCACTGTGGAAGCAAATACAGAACTCCCTGTTCATTGTGGGTGTTTGCACCTGTTCTGAGTCAAATGTCCTGGTGTAGAGCAGGAGATGGTCCAATGGCCCTCTGCACCCTGCTCCGCAAGCAGACATCTGTCAGTGGGACAGCAGTGTGCCAGGACGACGCTCCCTGCCTGATGCTAAGGGAACCCCCCGGGAACCAGAGAGCTCTCTCCATGCTGTTCTGTGAGAGTGCTATCCCCAGAGGGCTCTAGGCGGAGCCCCTATGCACGTGCACTGCAGTAGGTGATCCGAGTTCGTGTCTAGGCTGCATGTATTCACCAAGGTCTCAGACTTGATTGCATTGAAAGGGAGACTGGCTCCTCCTATCAGCCAAGCCATACAGCCCATTAGAAGAACTTGAGAGGCTAGTGGATAAGGCCCCGGCCAAGGACCTATGGGGTCTGGTTTTGGCTCTGCTGCTAACTTTTTGTGTGACGGTGGGCTGGACACTTCAACTCTGTGTCTGCTTCCCCTCCCATGCTTTGACTGTTGTCTCTATTTAGACTGTAAGCGCTTTGGGGCAGGGACTTGGTACCTACATTGTCTAGCACGCTGGGCTCCTGATCTTGGTTTGGGCTCTTAGATGCTGCCCTAATGCAAATGATTATGAGTCATCTACGCTTACAGTGGTCTTCCTTCTGCTCGTACCTGAAGCCTCTCGTCTTACTGAGATGTGGTAGGGTCTTGCCACTTTAGTAAGTACAGGCACACAGACCAGTCCAAAGATAAAGCAAGAGTTTCATGAGCTCCTGCTGCTCTAAGTGCTACGGCCAGCATCCGGCACCCTGCAGCCCGAACTCACCTCGCCCATGGTCGGATCGTCAGCCTTGTAGGCATCCAGTTTGTCTTGGATGAGCTGGGCCAGCATGGCATTGTCTTTGTAATCTCTAGCCCAAGTGGGAGGGAAAGAAAGGGGTAAAGTCATTTCATTCCTTATGTGCCTTCCAGCTTACAATGAGTATTGATTATATTAGGGAGCTTGGCACAAAACAAGCCACCTAGATATCTTAAATCAGACCATTTCAGCAGCTTCTAATGTCCAAGAATTGCAGAGCTCAGGGCCCATGTGGGAGAAGTAAGACAGGAGAATGGCTGTGTGGACCATAGTTCTCACGCTCCTCACGGAGCCGGCCTCTATGTAAAACCCGGGGAGGGCACATGGGAAGGTGGGGGCTGGATGGGGCTCTGACCAGGCCCGTGAAGCATACGTGGCTTTAGCAGACTTCTTCCACTCTCCCCACCTCTCCTTGGAGAGCCCTCGCTGTCTTCCCGGCACCTTCCCTGCCCCACTGCTGGACCATAGTCTCAGCTGTTGGGGGTGCTGTGCTCACCTTCCTACGTGTCTGAGGCGGAGGAAGTGGGGTTGTGCTTGCGGGGGGAATAGTACACCAGGAAGGATTTTGAGCAGGGAACAGATGGAAACTGCCACAAAGGAAATTGAAGTGAAGAAGGACTCGGACAGGAGGAGAAAGGGACAATGGCCTGTAACTCTGGTAATTTTTTAATCTACTCCGGAGAAGCAGCCAATGAACGGGAGTAATTCCAGCCCTGTCCCACTGGGGAGGTGTAGGGTGGGGATCTCAATGAATAGATACTTCGAGGAGAAGCCTCCAGTTCAGCCCACCCCACGGTCACAGCCTTACCCTCTGTATCGGACAGCGGGATATTCCTTCAGGGTGGCACACAGGGTGGCAATCTGTTCTGCCAGGCGTTCCAGCATTGGGTTCTTCAACTGGGTCTTGTGGGGACTGTAGAAGCTTTGGAAAGAGTCAGCAGAATCCAAGGAGTAAACCTGGAGGGGATGAGAATGGCAGCGGTTGAGCTTAAATGTGAATGCAACACTAGCAGCGCCCAAGGAATGGCTTAGAGAAGACAGGGGGCCAGCGTCATTATCCCCATCTTGCAGATGGGGGAAACTGAGTCACAGGAAGATGAAGAGATTTGCCCAAGCAGGCCAGTGGCATAGCTGGGGACAGACCCCAGGTCGCCTGAGTCCCCGCTGACTGCTCTACCCGCTTGGCAACACAGCCTCCCATCTACAGTCATGCTCCTTTTAATTCTTGTCTGACTCGAGGCATTGTCCAGCAGTTTGCAACACATGACCCATTACTGGTTCACATCTGTAGGGAAACCCAACAGCCAGAGCACTCTCAGTACAGCCTGGGCCATAAGCACCAGCTTTCCTGCAAGGGGGGGCTATTGGCAGGGACGCTGTAGCTTGCCTCTACCCACCCTGAAAAGCATGGGCAGGTTTTCAGCTTCCCCCAGAGCCAGGCAGAAGGCAGCTTGTTTGAGTTGCGTGGTCCAAAGCTGTTCCCCACACCTCATCCCTCCCCAGCGGTCCCTCTCCGTGGAGTCGAATGCCTGAGTGACTTGGGGGCCTGTTGCGCTCTCGTGACCAAGTCCCCCTCAAAAATCTTTGGCGACTGGGCTAAAATTAGGCCTTGGTGCAAACACAAGCAGGCTGGAGACACGTACTGGCCGAGGCTATGCATCACAGGTACACGCGTACGGGCTTGGGGCAGACGCAGGACACTGATGTGTGCTCCCTGCTGGATGACTTCTGGAATGATGCTGGCTTATTGCTGGGAGGGGGTCTGTTCGCCTCGTCTCCAAGACACAGTGAAGGGGTGCAGGGAAGGGGACCCTACCTGGGCCCAGCACTGTAAAGATTTGTTATTGTGCTGATGCCGGCTCATTTTCCTTCTGACGGGGCACTGCCCCTGCCAGCCATGTCCATGCGTGTCACAAGTCTCCCTCTGTGCCCAGTCCACTGAGGGTAGGTGCCAGCTCAGGAGCTTTAGCAGCTCATGCTTTTGGCTCCAGAGGGTCCCAGTTCAATCCCCCGGGTGTGTCGGCCAAGGTAACGGCCACCACAGCAGCATCTCCAGGGCTGCATCAAAACCAAAGACGTCAGCTAATGCCAGCGTACCCCCGTGAGGGTGCTGCAGCAGCTGATGATACCAACTGCCAGCCGTGGGCTGATGGGCACTCAAACCAGCCACCGCGGGGTCCAGCCAGCAAAGAGAGATGGAGCAGGGGGTGAGGACGGACACAGATGAAGGGATCATAGATGACTGCCACTCTCAGATGAGCCTCCTGTTTAACTAGACGCAGCGAGCTGGCTGGAAAAGAGCCAGCCCGGTTCACATGAATTCCCTGGCAGCAGTCACGCTACCCTGTGCCAGCTCAGAGCCAGAGCAAGGCAGCTGCCTGGGTCCCCTGCAACATGCTGCCCATGCCAGAGAAGAGCCGACCAACTGCAACAACATAGCACCACAGCACTGGGGCCCGGAACCCGGGGCTCGGACACCCAAAGCCGAGCGAGAACGTCCAGGTCTGGGTCCAGGTTTCAAACCTCCCAAAGGCTGTTTGGCTCCAGGGGTTGGCCTGAGCCTGTTATAAAGAGAGGGGCTGTTTGCAGCAGGTGGATCTGGGTTTGCCTGGGGTTTTCACACACCCCCAGAGCTCAGGGATGCTTGGCCCTACTGATATGGCTCCGGCCCATCTCTAAAGACAGCTGAAATCCTAATGATAGATCCTCAGTAAATCTCACTGCAGCACCTCACCTCCAACCATTATTATTAGCTATAGGACAGTGCTGCCCAGAGACCCCCACTGAGATCAGGGCCCCATTGTGCTAGGTGCTGCACAGACATGGAGTGAGGAATTTCCCCGCCTGCTTACGCCCCTTTTATGCTGCTGCAAGGGTAACGGGACCATAAAAGCCCTGGTTCGAGCTGAGGGAGAATTCCCCTACTGCAGAAACTGAGTCAGACAGCCACAAGGCCCTGTCCAAAATCTCTGGCCGAGGGGGGCATGCTGGGGGCAGGGTGGGATGCTAGAGGGGATGGGGCTGTGGTGGATGCCGTGATTCTGTGCTTACCTGGGGTTTGCTACATTTCAGCTCAGAATCGAGAGAACACAAAGGTGGCTTAATGCCACGTCAGCTCCGTTCCCCAGACTGCCAGTTACACGCTGGGCCTCTCAGAGGCATAGCACACAATCCTACCCAGGAAGAGACACATCCCTGCCTCCAGGAACTTACACTCCAGATAGAAAAGGCAGGGGAAACAGGTGCAGAGACTTGCCCGAGGTCACACAGCCGGTCACTGGTAGGACTGGGAATCAGGTCTCTAGTCTCCTGATTCCCAACCCAGTGCCCTGTCCCCAAGACCGTGCTGTCTCTCTCCCCAGCATCAACCTCTCAGTGTAAACACCCACTCCCGCTCCGGCAGGACCCCCAAGCTGGCAGCAAGAGCAGGCAGAGCAGGAGATGGGAAGCACAATCCAACAGTTTCCCTGCAGCAGGAGAAGCATGTTTGTAGCTGGCTCGGAGAGGAGGGGAAACCAAATCATTGCTGCTCCAAGGGGGCCAGTACCACTAAGGCTGTCCCTGCCAACAATCCCATGATAAGAAGATGCCAAATTCTAGTGTCAGCTGCTGGCAAAGGTTTATTCTCTGGGGGCACATTTGGTTTGACCAGCTAGGCAAATCCCTGCAACTGTTGGGATTTAAAGAGTTAATGGCTCTGAAGGTTGACTGCCATCTGTTCCTAGTCACATGGGCCGCCCTCCCACAGGGCAAGGGCCTGCTCCCCGGCAGATGGCACAAAGTTTCACCCCTCCTGTGCCCTGGACTCATTGGCCCATCCCTGGTGGTACCCAAGGAGCCAACCAATGACAGGCGATAGCATGGGGCCGGGGGTGGAGCACAGGGTTAATACACAACTGGGGATCAGACCTGAGAAATAATCAAAGGAGACAGGGCTGAGAATGCAGGGCAGGAGGTAAAGAACCAGCCCTGGAAAAAGGGGGTTAGTAATTTAATCTCTCATTTCAGGCTGTTCCATAAACTCTCCTCCTGCAGGGAACGTGAGGCTTTTTCCTTTCCAACCCTCCCGTGCCATTCGGGGTCTCCTAGAGAAGGCGTGCTAGCCTGATCTCTGCTCTTTTGCCCCGCCCCGGACTCACCTGGGACTCGTAGGGAAGGAAGGCTATGTTGATTTCTGTCAGGGTCTTGATGACTTTGGCCGCACGAGATTTCACCAGTTCGTTAAACAGGGCATCGGGGCAGGCTGGGAAGAGAAGGAGAACCAGAAGATTCAGCAGAGGTTTTAAATCCTTGGGTGCCTCATGCCCAAAGGCCAAAAGAAAGGTCAAAGCCACCCACACAAGTATCAAACCCATCCTGAGAAAGGCCCCGATAAATCCAGAGAGGGGTGGATGGCCTCATTCCAGTGCCCATAAAACACTCTTAAGGCTGGTGCTTATTGTCCCGTCTCCTTGGGGACCCCCAGACCAGTGAGGAACCACGCTCATACTCAGCGGGCTCCGTAGCGTTAATAATGACTTCTCTAGCACTTTCCACCCCAGGATCACAAAGCACTTTAAGCACATTGTTAGTGAATTCGGCCTCCCTGTGAAGTGCAAAGATACCGTGGCAAAGAGAATGGCCAGATCAGTAGCATTTTAGCCCTGTATGGCAGATAAGCAAATAGGCTCTGAGAGGGGTCGTGATTTGCCCATCATTGCACAGGAAGAGCTGGGGAGGGACTGCAGATCTCCTGCCTCTTTGGTCTGTACTTATGCTGCTAGGCTATTGTTCTCCCAGTAGAGCCTGGAAGCCCCAGTCGAGATCAGGGCCCTGTTGAGTTAGGTGCAGTACAAACACAGAGTGAGCGACAGCCCCTTCTTCAAAGAACTTGCCATCGAAACAGACAACAGACTGGCGGGGCAGCAAATCTCTGCCAGCTAGGGGCTGCACCCTTCCTCGGGGCCCTGTCAATTATCAAGCTGGCCCTGAGGAACAGAACTTCTCAGAATTAAGCTAAAACCACAGGGCCTGCATTGATAGACCCCAGAGAAGGGAAAGAGGATAAGAGGAGAGATGGGAAAGCAGTTATTTGAAGAGGAGAGGGGAAGTGAAACATCCTTCTCTGGATCCTTAGAATGACCTGTTGGGAGGAGGAATTCCCATTATTTAAGGAATCAATGCTCTCTCATAGGTTAATACCAGCAGCAAATAAAAGAAATGATCCAAACCCCACTGAAGCAATGGGAATCTTTCCATTGACTTCAGTGGGCTTTGGATCAGGCCTGAAGTGCTGATGCCTTGGGAGGTTGTTCTGGGGAGCAGGTGGCTGGGTATACTGCAGACGGGCAGAGGAAGTCGTTTCAACTTTTCCTGCCCATTCCAAAGTCACTCACCAAACCAACGGCGTGCCCTGGTTTGAGACCATTTTATCTAATGCTGTTTGCTCAGTTTGAAATTTCCCAGCTACAAAATTATTCACTGGGTGATAATCTCACATGGTCTTCAAAGTCTCCTTTGTAAACCGATTTCCTGTCCCCTGCACTAGCTCCAACCTGGGTTCTCTTTGCCTCTGGGGACAACTTCAGCAGCAATCCACTCACCCATGGCCCCCGCCAGCTTCTCTTCTGAAACACTGCAAAGAAATGACACCCCAGGGTGACGCAGTGTAATGTCAGAGTAATGGTACTGACATCAGGGGGGCTGCTCCAGATCTACACTAGTATAACAGAGCAGAATATGACCCACAGTGTCCCGTGCAAAAATGCAGCAGTGCCATTAAGCATGTGGGCCATGAAGCACCATTCTGTTACACCAGTTTTATGCAAATGTGACTCCAGTGAAGTCAAGGGAGTCCCACCAGTGTAACTGTGGGGTAACAGACAGAGAATCAGACTCTTGGGACTTAAATTAATCACTGGTGGAACTCCACTGACTTCAGTAGTGTTACATATCTGGAGTGCATTTAGCCCCTGGTGCATTGAACAGCTAGAAGAGGGCTCTTGGAAGAAATATCCCCTTCCAGAAACCCCTGCCTTGAGAGGGGATGAGAGCAAGGGGATGAATATGGGCAAAGGCTGAACATAGGAAAGATTTCCTAACCATAAGGCCTAATTAGAGAGTGCAATTGTTTCCCGCGGAAACTGGTGAAAGCTCCATTCCATGAGTCATTTAGCTTAGACTAGACACAGCATTTGCACATATATGAGAGAGAAAAACCTTGCGCTGGATGAGGGGTGAGTTGGATTCACGTACAGAGCTTTTCCCAGCTTTGATTTCTAGGATTTCTTTGAGGCATTTTACAAATCTCAGGCAAAGGTTGCTGCAAATCTCCTACATGCAAGTCTTGCTTGTTTCCTGCCAGGATCTTGCATCTCCTCTGCATTATGGAAGTCACAGTGTGGCGGGAGCCCAGACTACAAGACATCAGAGATGCAGGGAGAGGGATGGAGGCAGAATACTTACAGTCAGTGAAGAAGACATGGGCAGCCCTGTACTTGGCAGTTGGGGGATCCTTGAAGTCACTGATGAGTGAATGGACAGACTACAGGAAAAAAAGAAAAAAAAAAGCCCACGTGAGGCTGGACACCAGAAATCAGGATTAGCATCATTAGACACTTAACCCAGATGGTGCATTGGCTGGTCTCAATAACCACAATGCGTGCCATGCTAGGGAATCATCAGCTGGCTCTGACCCATTAGCTTAGGAGACAGATATTTACACTATCTCTATTGTAAATTTCAGTCCCATGCGTTCAGGAGCTGAAGTGCCAAGGAACTTTGGGGCAGCGTTAAGATAAAGGATCTAGGTTGAGATTAATTCATTCTGACGGCAGTTGTATGGCCAAATCCCCTGGCTGGCTTTGAAAATCTCCACCCCAGACATTGCCACTTTACAGACACAAGGGGAGGGGAGGACTGGTTCTCACTAGTAGGCATCTGAGAGGAAGCTCACACAGCTTGACACCCTGGTTGGGCACTGCTGTGATAAACTGCACACTGCTGAAGTCCCGCAGCACTGCTGTTAGAAAACTCACGGTGCTCGGTTTCTGGCTGGGCACTGCTAGAAGTCTAACTGGCCTGGGCTGCCCCCTGCTATGTGCAAGCTCCCACGACTGAAATCCTACCAGTGCAATCCTACCTTACTCTGCTGCACTGCTATTACTAAAGCAAAGAGCATCATAAGTTTCAAATAAAGGATTTAACATTTATGTGTGTAATAAGATACAGGAAACTGGATTAGAGGGGCAACTGGTGTGATAGGATCGGGAATTTCCGTGTGCACAGACAGGAAATGAAGCTCAGGACAGGGATGAAGCTCAGGACTCTGGTGTTCCAGCTGACATGGGCAAGGCACGGCTGAGTGGTTCACCCACCTACCATGAGCAGAGCTCTTTCACTGTAGGACATGCTTGTAATTTTGCTAGTTGTCTCTAACTAGTGAAAAATATATTCATGTACGACAATGTGATAGCTCAGTGGTTTGAGCATTGGCCTGCTAAACCCAGGGTTGGGAGCTCAATCCTTGAGGGAGCCATTTAGGGATCTGGGGCAAAAATTGGGGATTGGTCCTGCTTTGACCAGGGGGTTGGGCTAGATGACCTCCTGAGGTCCCTTCCAGCCCTGTGATATTCTATTCTAACATTAGCCAGAAAGGCTTCAGATCCTCCCCCAAATGAGGTTAAACTGACCCACAGCAACTCAGTTGGTACAGCATGATTTTGATTATAAGATGATCATTAGAGCTGGATGGGAAAATGCAGATGGAATCATTTCCCAACCCAATTAAAACGCTTCACCACATCATGTTGATTTCATCACATTTTCGGTTTTGGAGAAAACCTGGGGGGGAAAAAGTCCAAACCTGTTGAATCGTCCCGGTTTGACATTTTCAGACTGAAATATTTCAGGTTTTCATTGTGTAACCACTTTTTGGTTTGAGGGTTTTTTTTTTAGTTTGTATTGTACTACATGTGTTTGTTGAAATGAAATGTTTCCATCAATCCAAAACTACTTTTTTCTCAGAATTCTCTTTTGCGGAGCATTGTGGTATTTTGGGGCTTTGTTCCAAATTGGAATGAAAAAAAAACAAAAAACAAAAAACCAATAAAATCCTGAAATCTTTTGTGAAACTGAATGTCCTTCCTCTGCACAGCTCTAAGGATCATTGCTGATGCCTGTAAGTGCCTTATAGGGCACTGCCATCCATTCTTGTCCTGGCACTGACAAATACCCCTTCAGCACAGATGCTACAACCAAACATGATTAGCTTTCGCCAGACCCTGGTACAAGACACTCCCATGCTGGAGTTTCACCTTATCAGATGGGGTGATGAGGTACACGGCCTCCAAGGTGGGGAGCGGCTCTCGGCGCTTGTTGATGTCTTCCACAACTGCACAAGAAACACAACCAACGCACAGGGGATTGGTACAGCAGGTGACAGGAGATAGGCTGCCTATTTTCATTGTATATAGCTAGATATTGTGTATAGATCTATATCGCTGTGACCTGGAGTCTCTTATCTAATAATTGGTTTTTGGTCATGTCTAACCAACACGGCAAGTCCCAATGGCAGAAGAGCTGTGATTCCACCAACCTCCCAACACCCAAATAACAAAGGTTCCCAGCCGTTAGCTTGCTCCTACAGTGCCCCCAAGGGGAGGATCAAAGGGACAGTAAACTCCAGAGGCAACGGTGCTTATTGCTCCATTCTGCAAGACAGCCACTCCCCTTAAAGCACAACTGTTGAATGCAGGATGTACAGGAACCGCTCAGAGCATCACAGCTGGGATACTGTAGGGTTTGGGACCTGTCCTGGAGAACCCTTTTTTTTTAAGGGTTGATTTTTTTGTGATAGCTCTTTCTATCCTTTAAAATGTATTTATTACTATTGCCCTTGAATCTTAATGCTTGTGAAAGATGCTCTGGAGAGTGGAATCCTCCGTTCATGCACAAGACTGTGCCAGAGGCAGATGTACCAGCTTCCCCCAAGGAACCTCATCCTTATCCAGGGAGGGTCAACTGGTTGTGTTGACTGGCCTGCATGTTGTTTGTGTATGTGGTGCTGGGCTTCCAGCTGTTCAAGATGGTTCTTCTTGAAGTTGTGGCCAACCACTCTTACGGTGTGGCACCATGCAATGGGGTTAGTCACCAGCTGCTCGAAGTTCGAGTAAGAAATGTTCCTCTTGTGCAAATTTTGTTCAGAGTATCTTTGAAGTGTTTTATCTGCCCTCCACGCAACGCATACTGTTGCCAGATCTTAATTCAAAATATAGAATTTGTTTTGATAGATGGATACCAGACATGCAGATTACATGACCAGTTCATCTCAGTATGGTACAAATCAGATGAGCAGCCCAAACCAGACTTACATGTTGGACACCTGGCCCTGCCTCTTGATGTCCAGCAATTGTCACGGGTGTCACAAATGGAAACTGTCAAGCTATTTAATGTGCTGTAGATAACAGGTCCGTGTTTCACACGGGAATATGTTTAAAGTGGATGAGCAGTTGTGCATTAGTTCACACACTTTCTCAATCAGCAAGACCATTTCCGGTGGCACGGTAAAGTTCTGTATCTGGCTACCAGTCCCCTGAGCCACATGGTCCCTTGCAAAACAACCTCTTCCATAGACCCTCCTGCATTGCTGAGCTGCAGAAGTTCCTTTTCCCATGTGAGCTACCCCAATCCTTCCAGCCCCCTGCAATTAAATGACCCTCAGCACCGGCAGAAGCCCAGGGGAAATCAGGATCTGGATCTGGGGACTATTTAGTGATGAAATCCAATTTTTTTGTATGAAAAATAAAATCATGAGGCAGGAAATAGTACCAGCCCAAACCTCCGGAGAACCACTGAAGCTTCAGGGCCTGGTGCCATTTGAACAAATGTTGGACCACAACCTGCTGTTCTTGGGGGTAGATCCTAGGCTACTGTAGGTTGTCATAGCTCCATTGACTTCAGTAGAACTGTGGCAATTTACGCCAGCTGCGGATTTACTAGGACCGATATATATTGCAGCTGGCAACTGCTATCTGGTTCTGATTTTCCTCCCACTCATGCTGGTGTAAATCTGGAGTTGCATGCTGATGGAGCTAGTGTGGTGCAGGAGGAGAATGAGGCCCTGTAAGTGAAGGTAGGACAAGCAGTAATGGGCTTAATCTGAAGCAAGAGAGATTTAGGTTAGATATTAGGAAAACCTTTCTAACGATAATGACAGTTATGCTCAGGAACAGGCTTCCAAGGGAGGTTGTAGAATCCCCACCGTTGGAGGGTTTTAAGAACAGGCTGGACAAACACCTGTCAGGGGTGGTCTAGGTTCACTTGGTCCTGCCTCAGTGCAGGAGGCCGGACTAGGTGACTTCTCAAGGTCCCTTCCAACCCTACATTTCTATGACTCTGTCAAGATCAAAACAAGCCATGGTCAGACCTCACAACACATCAGAAAGAATCTGCTTGGAAGACTTTTGCAGCCCCCCCAAAAAACTACCCCCCCCAATCTAGAGCTTCCCACCCCACATCCCCCAGGAACTCTGGTGGATCTATCAGTATACCTTGAAGGTCATAACTTACTTTGTCCTTTCTTGGACAAAATTTCCATTAGCCTCAATGGGCCCAGTAAGGCCTATTGGATTTGGCCTTTCATTATTATCAATTATTATTTCCATTGCCCTCCTGCCTAGAAGCCTCTGCTAGAGGTCAGAGCCTCTTTGCGCTAGGCGCTGTACATGCACAGAATGAAGGGGCAGTCTCTGCACCAACTGGCTTCCAATCTGTGCTGTTCAGAACGTACTGAGCCTTCTCTGGTCGCTATTCTGGGGGCACTCTCATAACAGGATCTTTGTTTTACTGGGAGTTCCCCTTGCTCCGACAGCTTCTTGCCATCACCCGCACCCTGAAGTTCTGGTTCTGCTTTCACTTGCCCTGGTGTAAAGCAGGACCCACCCAGGCTGAAGTCAGTGGAGTTACCCCTGGTGTAAACTTGCTGGGAGAGGAAAATCAGGCCCCAGATCCAATGTTTGTCACGTTGCAATAGCGCTGTGTGTTGGGGCAAATGCCATAAAAACCAGCATCCTTCGGTCAAACGCCAGTCAATTGAATGGCTCCATAGCTGTGTTTTACATTTTTTTCTGCTGGCTTTTTAAATTCCACCGAGAGCTATTTATGGGGCTGAAGTACAATGACGTCAGATCTATGTGTGGTATTTCCAGCAACCAGGGACTGAAATACCACCAAGAGACAAGCTCCTCGTGCTATCCCAGCCGGGTGAGTCATGCAGGGAAGTGTGTGAAAAATCTCACCACAAACACTGAGACTTTGACATACAACCGAGTGGGTTACCACAGAATACTGCAGCTCCCTGTGGGAATGACGTCAATATTGCCATACAGATATCCTTAGTAACAATAGCTCAGTGGGAGAGAGACTCACAGTCCATTTGCCTCCTGGGTTTAAGGGGTCACACTGGCATAGTCAGCCCAGTGGATCTATTCAGGGGCATAGTGGCCATCTGGGGAAGAAATGAAGCTCGAAACTCACTAGCTGTATGGGAACATTTTCAGTGTGACTGGGGCTAAGAGAGAGATGTAGGCCCAGTGGCAAAGCCCTGTCCAGGAGAGACGGACAGATTGAAGTACTGCAGCTGATTCAGAATAAAATGGGAGCAATGGATGGAGTGAGGCAAGCTGCCATGGGAAGATGCTGGTCTCCCAACTCCTCCTGATCACCTGCCTCCCAGTGCCAGCCGACTTTGGTGGTGAAGCTGGAATCTAAGGAGCAGAAAGGGAGTGTCAGGGGGCACGGGACTCACTTGTTATCCCCTCCGTCATGATGTCGGTCATTTTACAGCAGGAAGAGAGCATGCGCATGCTGAGCTGATCCACCACCAGCACCTGGAGCAGGAGAGAGACTGAGTGAGCAGGAACACAGTGATTGAGCCATGGGGGGATCAGGCGTTAGGATGCACCTGGTGTAATTCGGTGCTTCGGACAGTAAAGTGACCCTGACTGGGCCTGGCATAGCGAAGGGGCCCACACGCAGGCCTCTGCCATGCTGCTCTGCCGGTGCATCTCAGTGCCGCCATGCAGCTTCCCCTAGAGCTCTAACCACCAGCTCTGGGTTGCCACAGACCTCTGCCAATGGCCCACCGCCATGCCCTGCAGCACCCTCTGCTAGTCCTGGCCTTTGTTTGGCAAACGGGACAGGAGACGGCTTTTTCTTTTCCTCAGCCATTTTCTTTTGGACTCCCCGTCCTCATATGTCAAACTGACCGCAGCGCAGCCCCCTGGCCAGCACTGAAAGGAGGGATGCACAGAGCCGGAGCAGAATCCCTAGCAGGGCTGGTGCTACACGTTACTCATCGTGTTTGGCAATTTTAGCATCCGTCCAGCGTGCCGCATTGCCCTGCACTGGGCCAGCAACTCCCAGGCTGCTTCCAAGCCCTTCCTCCATATTGCTGCCTGCCCCCTTCCACCTCTCTCTGTCGTCCCCCACTTACTTTCCACTCGCCCTTCTTCTTCACCTTCCTGATGACGTCATGCATGATCTCTGCAAAAGGAACAGAAAAGGTGGATGTTAGTTCACACCAGCTTTCCGAGGGTCCTGGGCTCTGGCCCCTGTTACTCCCCTAGCTTCATCCTCCTTGGCCGCAACAGCGCCAGGTTGGTCTGCACTGCGACTACTGATCAATACTCTGCTTGCATGCAGGGAATAATAATAACAATAATACCCAGCTTTTTCATCTACAGATCTCAAAGCACTTCACAGAAGAGGTCAGTACCATTATCCCCAATTTTCAGGTAGGGAAACTGAGGCATGGAAGTGGACTTGCCCAAGGTCATCCAGCAGGCTAGTATCAGAGTTGGGAATAGAAGCCAGGTCTCCTGAGTCCCACTCCAGTGCTCTGGTCAGTGGCTGATACTGCCTCTAAAGTGCTTCCCACCCAGAGGTGGTGTCTAAGGGGATGGCATTTGCTTGCCAGTGGGTGGGTCTGTGTGAATGACAAGTGGAAGGGCCGGAAGACGGGGTGAATTCCCTGCTGGAGACTTTCTTACACCATCTGAGCTACAACCACTTCTGAACCAGGCTGTGACCTCTGCCTGCTGTGTCTGGGATCAGTCACAAGGGTAAGAGATGGCCCACGGCAATTCCAGAGGCAGCCTGTATCAGGGCCGTTCGCGCACTCTGGGCATCTGCATCCATCCTGCCCAAGGGGAGGATGAGTAGCACTTGAGTTGTGCTCCTTTCCTAGGGACAGTGTTCGTGTCATTTATTCCGAAACTGTGGGAACACAAAGATGCTGCTGCGGGACATGCCAGGTCAGCAGGACAAGCAGCCTGACCGAGACAGCAGGAGAGAGAGGAAAGGGATAGGGGACTATTGTAATAGAGAGACACCACTGCCCCCCCACCCTGAGCAGCTTTGCAGTCTCAGGTAGAGCTGGGCAGAGAAAGATCATCCCATTTCATTTTGATATTGCGAAATCGGGTTTGGTTCTGATTTGGACCGAAACAAAAAAGTTTGAAATTCTCCCATAAAGGAAATGGAGCCACGGAGCTGTGGATGCTGGAGGAGCCCAGCTCCAAGGTAGTCCACTAAGCTGCAGAGCCCTGTTCTCCCTGACTTTGACCTGATGGGCTGCACCCAGAGCCAGGGAACATGGAAGCCCCGACTGCCATGGAGCTGTGTGCATTGGAGCTTGGGAATCAGGATTTGCCAAGCTGCCAGCTCCCCGGCCTGCCAGATGGGCTGCTGAGGAGCCAGGCAGGTAACCTGGCAGGAAACCAGGCAGTGTCCAATGGAAACCTCCCTGGAGGCTGGGCTCCATCAGAACTTCATCGAAATCAAACCATCTCCAGGACACATTTCGATTCTGACAAATCAGAATTCATCCCCCCTTCCAGAAAAAGTGTCTTGTCTGAATTTTTCTGACCAGCTGTAGTCTGAGGCAGCAAGAGGGGAGTGTCCATTCCATTAGCGCGGGGGCTGTACGGGGAAAGGCTGGAGCAGGGTAGCTGCGGGGATTTGATCTGTGAGAATGGATGGGTTGTGCGTCATGCCCAGAAGTTCACTGTGAGCTTTGGATCGGGTCCTTCTTCAAACACTTGAAAGGCTGCCATAAAACCAATGTTGTTCTCTCTTTCCCCAGAGGGCAGGACAAGCGGCAGTGGGTTCAAACTACAGCAGATCAGATCTAGATTAAATCTCAGGAAAAACTTCCCAACTATAAGAACAGTAGGACAATGGCACAGACACCTAGGGAGGTTGTGGAAACTCCTTCACTGGAGGTTTCCAAGAGGAAGCTGGATAGCCAGCTGCCTTGGATGGTTTCGTCACAACAAATCCTACATCTTGGGAGGGGGTTAGACAGCATGACCCTTGCGGTCCCTTCTAACCAATGGAAAGACACCCATTGACTTCAATAGGCTTTGGAGCAAGTCCCAAGTGAGACTGGGTATTCCAGAGCCTTCAGAAAGCTCATAGCCCAGTTCATAGTGACATCAGGAGGGCAACCGAAGTTATCCTGGTGTCAGTCCTGGGAGGGGGGGGGCGGTGTCCCTGTCATATACCCCAAATCTGCCCTGATCACCTGAAAGAACTCACCTAAACACAGTAAAATCTGGTAACGGCAGTAGCCAAAAGGGCTGCTAAAATTCTGCCATTGTGGGAAGTGGTTGCTCGGCAAAGAGGGGCTCTTCCGGGGACTGAGATTTCACAGGCCTCGAGGGCAGGTGGCCAGATGAGTTTCCACCCTCCATTATTCTTCAGGCACTGGATTTCCCTGTTACCCTTGCCCTCTTTTCCCTTTTAAACCATGCAGACAGGCTTCGAACCCAGCTTCCTGCAGCTGAAGGCCTGCTCTGTGCAAACACTCGAGCAGCAAAAGCCTCCAAGTAGGCAGGCCTGAGCGCTGCTCACCCACCCCGCTCGACTGGAGCTTTCTAATCCAACGCACGAAGAAAACAACAAAGGATTTAGAGCCCCTTTTAGAAACAAGAACCAAGCAGCTTGAGCCATTCCCTTATAATCCTTGGCAATCGCATTTCACCTCCCATTTAGGTCTGTCTTACGCAACCAGAGGCAACAACATCACACGGACCCTCACACGCCAGGCTCACTCCACTTTCACCCTTGGAGCATCTGCCTCGCCTGGGCTCCCACCACTAGTCCAAGCTCTAGGGCTAAGGCGGGTCAGCAGCAACGGACCTTCCAGGCATGTCCCATCCCAGGTTGCTCTGGGTTCTTCCTTAGCCACAGGGCCTGACTTGCCTTTGCACACCTGTTACAGTCATACAGAGAGTGCGTGAGTGGATGATGAATAAGACCACGATTTTGTCACAGAGGTCACGGAAGTCACGGAATCCATGACATCCAGAGACCTCCGTGACTTCAGCCTGCAGTGGGCAGTCGGGAGCTGTGGGGTACCCCCATTGTCTGAGCGGCAGAGCCCCTGAGCTCCAAACTGCTGTGGGGCGGGTGGGGAGATACCCCAGATCTCCCGGCCGCCGCGGGCTGAAAAAGTCAAGGACAGGTCATAGGTTTCCATGAATTTTTCTTTATCTCCTGTGACCTTAATGGTGATTGAGAGGGATGGGCTCTAGCGGGCGTATAAAGGCTGGAGACAGAGAGGAATTGTTCAGGGTGCTCCAAGGGGCAATAACTTTACACACAAGTTCGGGTTGAGGGAATATACCACCAGTGAGACCTCTTGGGCTTTATCCTCTCCCCCAATAGAAGAGGTGGAAGCGAGTCAGTTGAGGCTGGATGAGACATACTGAGAGAACCATCCTTGAGAACGGACTAAATAACCTTGTCCAGTCTATGATCGGATGGGACTCCTCTCCCGTCCAATCCACTCCAGCGCCCCCCTGCCTGGGCAGTCTTCTGACCTGCTCTAGCCAAACTCCCTCTTTGTGCCTCCCCAGCTTTCCAAAAAGTCTGTTAGACCCACCTCCCAGCCACTGCCCTCCTGCTGCTGCCCGTAAGAGGCTTATTCACCAAGTGTCTTGGAGAGTCCTACGGAAGGGATGGAGCTCAGAGCCAAAGAGTCTGGTCATCGGGTCCAGAAGCACACCTCACGGATACCCTTGTTCAGGGTGGCCAGAGCATGGGCTGAGAAGCAGAGGTACCCCCACACCACAGTGCAAACAGCCATGAACATGCATGGTCCTTCGCATAGCAGCCGCTGCATGGTGCACAGTGGAGCGTGCTAGGATCTCCCCCGTCTGCTCCTCTTGCAGCCAGGAGAACAAGGCCCAGTGCACCACAAGAGCAGCGCGACTCATGGGAGGGACACAAAGGGGGCACCAGCTAAAGGGGGGCACATGACCTCCCCGTGTGACCCCCCACACACACCACATGACTCCTCCGTGTGACTCCCTGCCCCAGCCCGGGGGTCCCACGCTCTCCCCGTCCCATATTACCTGTGTGTGTGTGGGGGGGGGGGGGGACGACTCTGTCCTCCTGCTGCACCGGGAACCGCAGCGGTGAAAGGAGCAGAATGTGGGGCCGCCAGGCAGCCCTAGGCCGGCAGCTCCTCCGGGGCAGCTGTACCACCCCCAGCCCTTCCACGCAGCTGCGTCTCCTGTCTGGGGTTAGGTCTATACAGCCTGGCCGGAGGACAGGGCCGGGGGCGGTACCGGTGCAGCCGTGCCAGAGGACCTGCCAGTGCGGGGCGCTGGCTCCTGGGAGCGGTGGCCCCATGTTCTGCTCCTTTCACTGTTAGGGTTCCTGGGAGAGCCCTGCGGTTCCCTGCCAAATGTGCCCCACCCCAACCAGGCGTCTCGGGAGGGGCATGTGACCCTTCCTGGCATCACCTTTTCACGGGTGGATGGGTAGAGTCAGCAGCCCAGCGGTATGATGTGTGGGCACTATCCCGGGGGAACTGCAGGGAAAACTTCGATGACTGTGGCCTAGAAGGTTTGACCTTTCACAGCTGGTTAATCTAGAGGGTTTGGGGGGCGGGTGGTGGTGGGGGGAAATGACATTTTAACCTTCCCCAAAACACTCTTGGCTACTGAGGCTGAGAATCAGCCTTTCCAACCGTTTGGCTCAGGGGGTCTGTCCTCACGCCCTGTGCTAAGCAGCTTTTGTCTTTCTTGGCCATGCACTTGGATTTCTGTCCCACCTTGTCCAGGCTACCTCACTTTAGTCATGGCTGTACGGCCCCACTCTGACTTTTAGATGCTAGAGTCCCTGCCCCCTGCCTCTTCTCTTCATCCTCTGCCTCCTCCTCCCCTCGCTGCTGGCAATTTCTCAAATGGGACTCTGCCGAAGCAGCACTTAGCTCCAAACCCTCTTAACTTCTGGCCCGAAGCCAAGCATGAAACGTTTCAGCCCAAATCATCGTATTTCAAGAAAATTATGCCTGGAAGCAAAGGAGGGGGTTGAGTAGAAAGGCTCTCTCCAGCTCTTAGCAATGCGTCCGTGAAAGCAAGGCCCTACCACCATCAGCAAGGAGAGAACCTGGCACCAAAAGCACCAGCCACTACCAGGTGGGCTAAAGAAGTTATCCCTTCAGGTAGTAGCAGATCTTATCCTCCATGTGG